TTCCAATGAGTGGTACAGTACAGTACGGTTTGGGTCACCTTTATCAGGCTTGCTTCTCCACTAACAAGGGTACCCTTTTGGTGGGCGTGGTGTACGACAGAAAGTTTAAGCTTTATACACATCAATACTTGTTTATAAATGTTTATTACAAACCTTTCTATGAACATGATTAAGCCTGGTTTATACTTCTGCGTCAAGTGACCGGCGTGACCCACGGCGCATGCAACGCGCGTAGCTGTGCATTTATACTTCTGCGCACTGTCTCTGTTGGTCTGAATTAACACTTCCGAAACGCTAGTGGGCAGTGAGGTGTAAATGTTCCTCTGTGTCGAGTTTCTTCTCTGCTGTTTTGCTTTTCCTGAACACTTCCGGGATGTACAAGTGGCTCAAACTCGCTCATTTTGAGGCAGGAACCGGCGGACGTGCAACAACTTTAACTATGAGGTAAACACAAAACAAAACTTTCCATCCGGAGCTCCTTCACGGGACTCCACACTTGTAAACAATCGCTCTATTGGGCTCGCGTCCAGCTCGCGCCATTTGCGCGACTCTCGGTCCCGCCCAGACTCGTCAACGCTACCAAGACGACCAATCACAGAGCTTGCGCTACGCGTCGTTGCGACGTGTAGTTACAATTTTTGAGAGGTGCACGTCAGTGACGCCGACGGCCACATCGAAGGGCTATGCGTCAGCGCCGTAGCATACGCCGGCGTTTGACGCAGAAGTATAAATCAGCCTTTAGACTATAACTGCAGATCAATGACTGCGAAATAGCCTACTGTAACGTCTGCGATTATATAAAATATATAAATGCAACATATATGAACACATACAGACCCCTTACAGTCTCCGATTTGCTACCAACTACAGTAAGGGTGCTTTCACACCTACACTTTTGTTTCGGAACGTATCTCGTTTGCCCAGTTAACGCGGTTCGTTTGGCATATGTGAACAGGGCAATCGCGCTCTGTTCCGCGCCAAAGTAATCGCTCCGAGATCGCTTGAGTGAGGTGGTCTCGGCTCGATTGAAACGAACCCTGGAGCGGTTCGATTACAGTGAGAAAGCGATCCGATCCGAGCGCGGTTATATCACAGTGTTTTATGGATATTTAATAGGCATACGGCGATATGAAGAGAGAATTATGAGTATGGCGGGAAGTTTTGCGAGTCTCCGGATGCCCGCAAACGAGTGATGATCTCCCGGTAATTTCACGTCTCCCTTCCGGTCCTCAAATAGGCATCGTCGCCCACCCTTCTCACCCCTCCCCACCGCATCTCTTCTCAGACACGTCGCACGTGCACCCTGTCAATCTCCACCAAACCACCACCTCTCCTGACAGCTTAGCGGGACACTGCTAAATAAACCCTGACACTCTGACCAATGTAAGGAGAGTTTACTCGCACGTGTCTTGTTTTAGCTCTTTTGGTCCGATTAGTAACTGCTCCAACCGCTCCAAGAGCATAGAACCGCTCCAAGAGCAAAGAGCAACAATGTAACACTTGTAATCTCTGTTTCGGAACAACTGAATCGATTCACAGGTGTGAAAGCACCCTAAAACTACAAAGCATACATTTAGTGCTTATTTAGGTTCATAAACAGCAACATAGCCCAGTCAGTGCAAAACTCATGTGTCTGTCATCTTCACCAGCACATGTAAACTCTGTTAGAGAGTAATTCTGTCATTCCGAGTTCATATTAGTCCAGAAGGCGATGATATACATGGCAGTTTGTTCGTGATTCAGGTTGCTGAAACAATTTGCTCCTGAGTTTTGTTTGGCTTCTCCTTCGTGCTTCACTCTCGCTTTTGTCCATTTCTTTCTGAATGGATCAGATGGCGGAGACACTTCAATAATAACACACACGTTATCATCAGCCCAAGAAGTTCGTTATATCAAATATAGACGCGATCGCGAGCTCCCGTAAGAAAGCGAAAACCGCTCGCACCTTCAGATGACCTCGTAAAAACAACTACAAGACACAGCAGATATTGTTCTTCTTGGCTTTCTGTCTGTAAAGACGACGACAAGGTTGACTTGAGCTTGGGTCATCCATGGCTTGTTATTATATGCATATAGTTTTGCGGAGTAATCTCTCGGCTGTGTATAAAAACATGCTGGTTCCTTTGTTTTATTCTGGCCTCACATGAGCTTGTGACGTATCTCTGGAACCAATCAGTGTTCAGCTGCATGTGTAGCTCCACCTTCTGGTCCCCCTTCTCGTGTTTGGTACCCTTTCGAAAGGGTGCCGAAAAAGTGGTACGGTTCGACCAAACCGGACCTTACCGTACCACTCAGTGGAAACACTGTCAGGTTCTATTGCCCAATTCCGAATTGTTGTGTATTTCTGATTTTTTTGCCTGTCCGTTTACTCATTGTTTTAATTGTGACCCATATCCGATTCATGTGTTTACACTTGCTATACAATTTACAACGGTGTGCATGTGTAAAGGCAGGTTCTTGCATCTACGCCACCGTCTTGCTTTTAGCTCGAACTTCGCCCAACTTTAAAAGGATTTTGAGGCGGAGGAGGAGGGAAAGGGTCCTCATCGTAGCTTGCTCCTATGGTTTATATATGGTGTCCTCCACCTTTCAGAGGAGTTTGTGGGTACGAGAGAGATCTCAGGTCTTGTAGGAGCAAATTGTGGCGACTGACTACTTTCCTCCTCCATGTTTCCTCTGTTGTTGTTGTTTATTGTGTCGACGTCTCCACACACGCTCTTCCTTCTACGTCATTAAACTGCAGAGAAGTATCACAATGTCGGAAGTTTAATGACGTACAAAATAGAATGCCTCAATAAATCCGAACTGCCTGTTTACATGAGCCATATATCTGATCTATTTCCACATACGAAGGAGGTCTGAAACTGATCTGTAAATATTCGAATGCATGTGTTTTTTTGTGTTTACACGGTCATAGAACAGATCAGATCTGTCACATATGAGCCAAAAATTGGAATTGGGTCACATTTAACTGACAGTGTAAACGGGGCCCATGATAACCAAAACATGTGGCATGCATTCTATAATATCTTTATACTTTTGGACACTTCCACAAACAAAGAGTTTACATTTCAGAACCACTTTTGCAAATTGCACCAACAGATTAGGCATAGAACGATAACCGTTTTTAAGATATACCACGGTTTAGATGTTAAGGTTTTAAAACCGCCAAAATGTTTAGCTATATCATTTCTAAGGTATGCGTAAAAATTTTTATTTACATTTTTTATTTGTTTTTTTTAGGACAACAGCATCTCCAGCAGAAAACATATTCAAAGATGCCGTTTTAAATTGTAAAGAAATCTGTACTTCTGAAGCTAATGTAGACAGCAGAAGTCATTGATTCATTTGAATTATTTAGCCTGGCATGTTTACTGTTCCAAAACATAATATTTTAAATGTTTCTTAAAATAAAATATATTGTGTTGAAAGGAAAAAAAAAGTTTTAGTTTTTAACCTAGACATTTAAAAAAGATTGTTTAAGTGGAGTAATCACAATACAGAGAAACTGTGACATTTTTATCCAAGGTTATCATATTGTAAGAATCGTACACCAGCCCATACCCAACACAGATACACCTACTATATTCTAGAAACATTAGATTCCCTATTTGAATTACATTTGCTATTTATTGGATTCATCTGATTAATAAAACAAACTGACAGCTGCAGCAGTGCTTCATACATCACGCATAAACCATGACAGACACGAAAGCAAAAAACTTACAGGAGCTTGAACCATCCCATAGCAGTGATTACAGCCAACTGCCCTCAAAGTCACTCAGACTGTTTAATGGGCGTGAAATATATGATGTTGTCATTCTGTTCAAGAATCTGAAACTTCCTGAATATTCTTAACAGCTCGCGCGCGTGGCGAAGAACTTTAAATTGACACGTGCTCGCCAAAAAAACTATCAGAAACATGCTAAGAGAAAAATCCTCGCCCTGTGGTCAACTCAACGTGTTTCCTAAAATGTTCTGCACTGTGTTTTTATGCAGAACTCTGTTTGTCTGAGTGACTGGAAATGATGAACCCACATTTCAACCCAGCTCTAATGAGATGCTTTCCTCAGAAAGGCGTGTGTATGCATTAGACACAAACAACAGTGACTTAAGCACTGTTACAGATTAATACCTGTTAGTAATTTATATAGAACAGCCTTGAAAATGAATATATTCTCCTTCAATTACATTTAATGGGCCTCTCCGGTAAAAAATCGCATCCAAAGCTCGGCTTGATGTCCAACCCGGCTGCTCAAAACAGCAGTGCAAGTTTCCCCAGCCATGTAGACTTCTGATAACTCATGCATTAGCCTCAAATGCAACACGTATGGCTCATACAGTCAGTAAACTCTTTATTAAGAGTATGCTTAAAATACATTACCAACCGTTAAACTGAACAAATGTGTCCGCAAGGTTTTATTAGCTCACCGGCTAACCCCTGCATTCACAGGATGCGCAATTGCGTTTTCATGTATGCTATAAATAACACAGCATATTTGAGTAAAGGGCCACGCAATGATAAATAAAAAAACTGTTGTTTTCTTTTCTTCCACAACTCACACACTAATTAGCATTTTGGCTAAAAGCGCTAATGAAGATGATCGAGCCTCACTTTAGCATGCTAATGCTAACGAATTTGGCGCAACCCATTTAACGCACATTCTTAACACTTGTTAGCAAACGGAAAACATATTGAGTCTTTGTGCTAATTAACGAAAACATCAGCAAAAGCTGATCATTTGCATTTGCAGATAAAAGGGCCTAAACGTGGGAGCTAATATGCTAGCGGGTAACAGTGCAGAGGAGCGGGGGCAGCGTGCACATACACAACTGATCAGCCGCAACAACTTTGCCCATAAAATCCGCTCGAACTGCTACAATCGGAGCGGTTCTTCAACCAGAGTCTGGTTTAACTTCGAGATAAAGTCGGGGAATTGGACCTGAGTGACGGATAATTCAATGTAAAAGGGTTTATGAAGCTACAGAATTACACTTACCTCACTTCCGCAAATCGTTTGCTGCACATTCGGCAGCCGCCATGTTTTTTTCTCTGTCGGTGCTGCTGTGAATGCGAATCCCACAATCCCGCTCACTGCGATACTGTACAGGACAGCAGCCGCGGCCCACACGCTCACTGCTTTCATAATGACCGGCTCTCAAGAGCTCTGCTGTCAGCGCCGATCCGACCGAACATTTCAGCCTTCAAAATTAGTAGATTATTGTTGGTAGAATGCACTATTATGTGCTATTAGCTCGTCTAGCTCGGGAGATAATGGTTTGACTGCACCGCTGCCATTCAGGGCTCAGTAAACTACTTTAATTTTATGACAGGCCAAGGTCAATAAATCAAATTCGCTGTTAAATTAATGGCTATGTTAGAATGTATCATCATCTATGCTACACTATTTTAAATAGGTGCTTCTAAGGGGTTTTACAACTGGGGTGTATTATAATAAAGCCCACAAATGTGTATATATTACATTTAAGTGACAAAAAAAAATTAATGAAATGATGAATGAATAAGCCCTTTAAATAAAAATTTTATATAAAAAACGAATAGCTAAAACAAAAAAGGAGCTCACTTACATGTTCCCTAATATATAATAGTCAGTATAAACAGTTTAATAATACAAAGAAATTAACTTATGTATTTCAGATTTTAGAATGGAAATCCGTTGTTTCACATTGATCGTCTTGTAGGAGTCTAGTATTTTCAAATATTTTGATCTTGATATTTTGACATTTCGCACTGTAAGTTACATGAAATTATTATTGTTTTACTTTAATTTTATTAATGCAAAAATGAACAAGTGAATATATATATATATATATATATATATATATATATATATATATATATATATATATATATATATATATATATATATATATATATATATATATATATATATATATATATATATATATATTATTTTTAAAAGTGTGTGTGTGTGAGAGATTTTGGGGTGAAATACTACCTGGACTGTGTGTGTGTGTGTGTGTGTGTGTGTGTGTGTGTGTGTGTGTGTGTGTGTGTGTGTGTGTGTGTGTGGCATTTGTGTGCACTGTAAGAAATGCGGGGTTCCACACAATTCATTCATGTTGTCACAACGCAAACCGATTACGTTAACTTACTTAAGTAGATTGAACATAAAAAAAATTAAGTTGTCCCCCAAAAAATCTTAAACACCCTGCTGAAAAAAACAGCTTAAACCAGCCTAGCCTAGCTGGTCGACCAGGTTGGTTTTAGAGGGGTTTTGGCCATTTCCAGGCTGGTTTCCAGCCATTTCCAGCCTGATCTTAGCTGGTCAGGGTGGGAGATGACCAGCTAAAACCAGCTTGGTCAGCCTAGCCAGGCTGGGAGCCCAGCCAAAACCAGCTATGTCCAGCTTAAACCAGGCTGGTCAAGCAGGATTTAACAGGTCATTTTCCAGCCTGACTAGCTAAGACCAGGCTGGAAATGGCAGGAAACCAGCTTTGAAATGGCCAAAACCCCTCTAAAACCAGGCTAGTCAATCAGCTAAAACCAGCCAACCAGCCTAAGCTGGTTTAAACTGGATTTTTCAGCAGGGAAGTGTGCGTTTCAGCTCATATTAAATAAGTAGCTCAAAAAAAATCAGCAGAAATATTTTTGGAGTGTGTGTGTGTGTGTGATGTGTATATGCCATTCCGTAAGCTTCAGATCATACAAACAATGACAGATATTGACAGCATCAATTTGGAGTTTAATCTTAAACCACTCAGATACAGCTTTCTTCTCGGTGGACAATTAATATTGAAAAACGACATCACATCTTTCTATACATTAAATAATGCCTTGAATGTATACACATGAGGCAGCAGGATTGAATTGATCCGTTTTTTTCCCTCTTTCACATCTCATTTTCGAACAAGACAGCCTTTGAAGGGTTCAATTGTGAGCCTCATTGTTTGCATCTCCAGTCGCACAGCTATTCTGCACAAATAAAAAATGAGAAATCGATTTTCTTGCCAGCATAATGTGCCACGTCATTCCTATTAGCGTGCATTCGGCTTCGATTTAGCTTGTCAAAATCGTTATTACGAACAAAGACGACGTCCACGAATGCCAGAATAATCATACCCCTCTGGAATAAATAACATTTAGTGCAGAAACATGGTGTTGTTTAAGTACTAGTACATTCAAATACACATCGAACATCAGCGCTGAAGCATGCACGCTTTGAATCTACAGTACGGTGCAAAACAAAAGTTCTTTCCTGAGACTACGCAGCATTTAGCATCCCTTCGTAAGCAAAACATGACGTTCTCATCCACTACGTTCTTCATCGAGACAGCGAAATATGTACAGATGCGGTGGAATTCATTTGTGGTTCACCAAAAAAATCATGAGCTATTTGAATCGGAAGCTAAATTCATCAAGAACACAGCTGAAGACCCAAATTCAATTCATTAATAGACTGAAAACCGATCTTATTTCTAATCGTTCAGTGGATATGCACAATATGTACAAGCGTCAAGCACAATGGAGGAGCTTTCATCCATCCATCTGCTAATAAAGAACAGTCATAAAGGGTGAAGAGTGCGTATGTTGAGTGAAGCTGTAAGGTCCTTTTGCTTGACTGTTGGAAAACAAAAGTGAAGTGCTAGATAAGTGTTTGTCGGTCCCCTTGGCGGTCCAGCAGCTTCTCGGTACACTACACTGTGCGCGTCTCCACTTCGATCTTCTCCTCTGACTGTGAAGTCTCGGACTCTTGATGGCTGACGCTGGGCCGCACGGTCACTACAGGCCCTCCTCCGTGAATGTTATGGAGGAAGTTCCAGGTCTCTTCGGATATTTGACCTGAATCAGCACCTGGGTGACCAAAACAAAAAAAGAAGAAAACAGTTTTGAGAGTTACTTGACGCAGTTAATAATGACTATATGTATTTTAATCAGTTTCTGCTTCTTTTAATTACTATATTGTATGCTAAATTATTAGCCCTGTTGTGATATTAATTCTTTTTCAAATATTTTCTCAGGTTATGTTTAACAGAGTAAGGTACATTTCACAGTATTTACTTTTTTTTCCTGGAGAAAATTTCATTTCTTTTAGTTTTGCTGGAGTAAAAACAGTTTTAAAAGTAATTTTTTATTCGATATTTTTAGCCCCCTTTAAAGGGTCACGAAACACCAAAACACATTTTTTGAGCTGTTGTCAGTCGTATATGTGTCCCACACTGCTAAAAACACAATTAGGACACCTATATTTCACTAAAAAGTGTAAATTAGTTGTTTTTGCGTTATTTCAAGCAAATTCGTACTTCCTGTTTGAAACAAATTTTTGAAACTGCGTCATGGTCATGAGATAATAGCGTGTATTCCAGCGTGCAGACTGGACGTCTGTGCCTGAGTGAGTCTTATTACGTCTTACAGTGTGATGCATTAATGCATGAGTAAAGCTTGGTTCAAACCAATCAGCACGCTCTATTGTGTAACTTCATTAATATTCATTACTGTCACTGTGTTTAGACGACAGAGACGCCACGTTGTGTTGGCAAAACAAGCGTGAAGTGTTGCTTTTATAGTTTGCTGCAGTTAAGTTTTGTTTTCATTTTCTCTCTGTGAGAGCGCAGCTGGAGTCACGCGTGGATTAACAGTGTACGCGACACTCGACAACAATAACTTGCGTCTAAGGAGGATTATTGTTTACCTGAGAGCTGTTCTCATCTGCAAACACTAAGATCCGGATACGCTTGTAGTCTCCTCTTAATAAAGACGCAGCTCTAGTTGCTGGTGATTGTCCTGTATACAGATTTGGTAAGTGAGCACCCAGTGCTCTTTGTTTATTCAGTTTGTTCGTATCGAACAAACTATTGCACTGAGTGTAAACATGTTAGCATCACAACCAAACTTTAACCTTGTGTAGGATTTTCACTGGATTTTGTGACCGGAATAACACACGCGGTTTTCTGACGCTACCTGTCGAGTGCATCTAAGTTTCTGGGAAATGCTGAGGTTTTTTTTCTCTCATTCGCCATGCGGTATCAAACATTGCATGAAAATACACGCTTACAGCAGTTCCTCAAATCAAATATCTCGTTTGTCGCGAGGGACATGAATGAATTCCCTGAATGAAAGAGCCAAACTGCAGTTAAAGTCCACCATTAAATAATTTGGCAAATAATTAGACTACAGATGTCCATGCAAACACAGTCACTTTGTCCCCTGTGTGTGTGTATTTTGACTCTGAAACTCAGCGCGTGCAAATAGACACTCCCACACCATGCCTCTTTTCTTCCTCCGACACTCCCCCCTAAACAAAGTTGGACACGCCCACTTTTCTGACTTTTTCCAAAGTAGAGGTGTGAAAACACCCTGCTAAAACGAGGGGGTTTCATGGCCCTTATATATTTTGTAGAACATATTTTGTAGAACAAAACTATTTTGTATTTTGTAAATATTTTGTAGAACAAAACACTGATGTTGTCTAATGACTTGCCTGGTTAACCTAATAAACTTAGTTAAAGGTGCTTTCTGAAAGTTTTTGACTCTTCTAAAGCAAAAAAAAAAAAAAACATCATATGCTTGCAGATATTTCAGAAACATGCTAATTGAACATTCTTGTTTATCTGAAAAACAATGCTGAAGCTAGATATTCTGCGTTTCATGCCGGAACATCTGTCATTGTTTTGGTCATTTTTACTCGCCAGTGTAGCCGATTATATTTCAGCACTCCGGGTTTGATTCGTATCAAACAGTGTATTTGATTCGTTCAGTCAGAAAGGCTCTCAAAGCATGCACCCTTGACCAAAATGTGACCTCCAGTGGACAGTAGCAGCCTTCGAAATGAGACGCAGATTCAGAGTTCCACATGAGGTGTTATTAATTAGCAAATAATATAAATATATTACGAATGTAAACATTAGGTGAGCAGGTTAAATTGTAACCCTGTGTCCTAACAACACACTATGTGACTAGATTTGCAGTGATAAGCAATTGGGCTGTATACACCAGATGGAACATGACAGAAATGTAAATACAGCCATTTAGAAGCACAGAATAGTGCACTTACTGCACTCCAGTGAAATGGAAAGGTTTATAATCAAATCAATTAAAATTAAACCTCTTTAAGAAAATTACATGTAGATACTGAATCCCTGATATGTGCTGGCTTGCACGGAGTCACAGTCCTAAAGTTAAATTTCAAACGGTTTATTTTATTTTCAAGATTTGAGGTAAACTATCCACTGCTGCTTTCAGTAGTATGGCAATAAATGTCATATAAAATAGCATTCATACTCACATAAATAGCATTTATCACTGAATAAAGCACATAAGGTGTACCCGAGGTGATCACTGTCAGTTTTCTATTGTTCAGGTGCAAAAAAGCCGTTTGTACAATACAAATGTCAGGTGTTTGTTAGGACAAAAACTCTTTTTAATATGGAAAATATTCCTTTTATCGCGTGCCGCTGCTTTTACTTAGAACATGGTTTAAATCAGCCTTTGTTGGTGTCGTCAATCTGGCAACCGGCTCTTGCATGTGTTTTAAAGTGGGAGTGCAATACGTAATTCAACCACTGGTTGTCAAACTTACATACTGCACCTTTAAGCCTTCAAATTGCAGTTGAATAAGAGTTTCAAAGTAACTACTAAAACATTACGCACTGTCATCATGGCAAAGACAAAATCAATTAATTATTACATGAATGTTGAAACTATTAAAAAATCTGTTAAACAGCCATTGGATGATCTTTGAAAAGGAGATAATGTCACATACATGCACAACATTGTATTGTCTGCTGTTAAGTTTAAAGTATTTGTTGTGAACTGATTTGAACAAAAATGTGTTCATATGTAAATTAGAGCTGCACAATATTTGGGAAAAAAACTGACATTGTGATATTTTATTTTTCTGGGATACACATCAGGATTTTGATTAGAATTTCACTACTGCATAAAACATACTAAACCAATGACAAGCATTGAAAAAAACTGTAGAGCAAAGACATGGGTTTTCTGGTTTTCAAGGAGTATTCAGGTACACAAACTGAATAATCAAATGTAAAATAGCATGTACACTATCTCACAAAAGTCTTGTTGCCTATCCAAGTTTTAGGAACAACAAATAATAACTTGACTTCTAGTTGATCATTTGGTATCAGAAGTGGCTTAAATGAAAGGCAAAGGCCTCTAGATTATGCTTATTTTACCAAAATAAAATATGATCATGTCTTGATCTTTAATTATTTAATTAGGACAGTAAGGTCTGACTGCTTAAATGTCTTGTCACTTAACAGAAATGTGCAGTATAGAATATGAAATCATGGTGCAGTGAAAACAGAATTAATATTCTGTATAACTCCTATGAGCTTGAAGGACTGCGTCCATACATCTTTGCAATGACTCAACTTAATAATAGTCATCTGGAATGGCAAAGAAAGCGTTCTTGAAGGACTCCCAGAGTTCATCAAGATCCTTTGGATTGATCTTCAATGCCTTCTCCTCCATCTTACCCCAGACATGCTAAAAAATGTTCATGTCTGGTGACTGGGTTGGCCAATCCTGGAGCACCTTGACCTTCTTTGCTTTCAGGAACTGTGATGTGGAGGCTGAAGTATGAGAAGCTACCCTGCTAAAGAATTTGTCCTCTCCTGTGGTTTGTAATGTAATGGGCAGCACAAATGTCTTGATACCTCAGGCTGTTGATGTTGACATCCACTCTGCGGATCTCTCACACACCCCCCTACTGAATGTAAACCCAAACCATCACTTTTCCTTCAACAAACTTCTGTGAAAATCTTGGGTCCATGCAGGCTCAAATAGATCTTCTGCAGTATTTGTGATGATTGGGATGCAGTTCAACAGATGATTCATCAGAAAAATCTACCGTATGCCACTTTTACAACTGGGATCAACAACAAGACTTTTGTCAGGTAGTGTATAGTCTTCATCAAATATACATAAATACAATCAATTGGTCTTAAAGCTTTCTGTTGGTCAGTGTGTTGGTCACATAACTTTGAATATAAAATCGGCAAGTGGAAATTGTTGGCTTCATGCAAAACTCTCCAACATGTGAATTCCTAAGGAAATTACTAGATGTGACTTAGGTAAATGTGATACATTTCTCTTCCAACACTTGCTCTGTTATACATACACTCTCTCTGCGCAGCAAAAAAGTGCTGATGATCTGAAAACTCTGACACTAAAGCTGGAGATCCCTACTGCGGTACTGCAATACAGCCTGCTTTACTGCATAAAGTCACTAGTGATTGTGTTTGCTGAAAGCCTGTCTGACAAAAGAACTTACTATTATTTTTCTGCCAAAATGACAGGTTATTTTATTCAGTGTGTATTTTCATAGAAAAATAAGGGGAATTGTGCAGTTTTAGCATTTGAGAAGCTTCTTAAGATAAGGTTTCGCAATGTAGAATGCATACCACAAATAAAAAAAAATGTAGATATTGTAAAATAAATCATCCTTTCATTCACTCGATTTTGGCTTAGATTAATTCATCAACAGAAATTCTGATGAAATGTACATTCCTAAGATATTTAACTATTTTAATGAAGTACTAATCAAAACCTAAAGCTAACATTCAGTTTATTTACTTGATTAAAATTGCTCAAAAATGACTATCCTTCAGCAGGTAACTAAACATAAGATTGTTAAGGTTTAAATCGAACAGAAGACAGGACGGCTTTGGAACCATTTGACTGTAAATAAATGATAATATAATTGGTTTTTCATTTTTACTCAGAAATCAATTACTTTGAGGAAATAACATGGGTTATGAATGCTACTTCTTGTTGACTTCAAAGGAAAACAAATCTGGATTACCTGGCTTCAATGTGATGTGTCCATTTTTATTTACAGCAATCTTGGAGTTATCAATTGGCCCCGGTGGGTCTGAAACACACAAGATCATCCATTATCAAAAGACAAAGCATTTACTGCATCAAAAGCAAACATGAAACGCAACAGAAAACCAAAAATTAGTCAAGAACACTGAAAAGAAATCAAATTTACTACTTTTTATTTATCTATCGCTAGATTTTGCATTTTTAGCCTAAATTTAAAGGTGCAGTAGGTGATTGTTCTTAGAAACATTTTTTTTTGTAGTGCTGGTTGAAAGTCTCTTCACATTCATGGTTTCCGATACATTCATTCTTCCATGGCGGAGTGCCACACCAAAATTAATTCCGCCACAGCTACATTACAGCATTTCATTTAAAACATTCAGTCGTGTTTTTTTTTTATTTTTTTATAGCGAGTAATAATCGCTCCAAAACGTATATAAAGTTAAGTGAAATATAACAGCGCAAACTTTTCTGTAACATTATAGAGCTGTGCGTTATTTGTTTAACCCTTTAAGGCAGGGGTGGGCAAACTCACTCCTGGAGGGCCGGTGTCCTGCATAGTTCAGCTCCAACACTAATCAAACACACCTGAACATGCTAATCAGTGTCTACAAGATCACTAGAAAGCAGGTGTGTTTGATTAGAGTTGGAGCTAAACTGTGCAGGACACTGGCCCTCCAGGACCGAGTTAGTCCACCCATGCTTTAAGGTGACGTGCTGACTGACTGACTGACTGACTAACTGACTGACTGACTGACATGTGCGTGATGCAAGCAAACACGACGTAGCTTTCAGTTAAGATGAACACAGTTTCAATACTTATACTTTATAGATAAAGGTCTAGGGCTCTGCATTTAATGACTTTATTTAGCCGGAGTTTATAGCCGTTTTGCTTTAGGATGCACTAATGTCGCTCAGTAGGTCTATTGGAGACATTCATAAATAATCCTAGCAAATCTAATAAATGTTGGAGACGTATTTGCCACATACATACACTAAATCGCACTTCATCAGCGTTTATTTGAGAGCGCACAAGAAAATGCACTTGAGCAGCGTCTATTTAAGGCATGCGAGAAGGAAGAGGAAATTAGCGCGCAAGCAAAGAGATTCACATGCTCGTATTACATAAATGAGATTTCGACTTGTAATACTGCACACAGGACATTTGTCATTGAAATAACAACATAGGTAAATGTGTGAAAAAAAAAGCCTGCCGCCACAACTGGAAAAAATCCTATAGGAAACACTGACCTTCCAATAGTAATTAATAAAGTAAATGATGTAAATGTGTTTATATGTAATTTTATATTCTGGATAAGGCATAAAACTAAAAAACGTTCATCCAAATAAATATTGTCAAACTGACAAATAACTCAATTACGACAGGTCTCTCAAATGTCAATGAATTTAAATTTGAATTTCTGTGCAGCATCTTTAAGTAGACAGATACGTCACTCGCGCGCACGCGTGAAGCACGCATCTACCGCTGACAGAGAGACGTCATCCTGCAAACTCTGCATCAACCTGAACTTCTTTCTGAAAGACCATCGTGGGCTTGTATGCATGAAAAGAATAATCGTTTCTGAAAGGGCGTCTGCCAAAAATGCAAAATCAAAACTTTTCTAAACACTAAGGATTTTGTGGTGCAAAGTTAATTTAAACATCCAGTTATTCTTCACACCGATTGAGAAACCGGCTACTATAATACTACTAAATATAAAGAACATCTGCTCTAACTATAAAACTGAACAAATTGCTAAATACTTTTGACACATGAAAGTGTAAAGCCTGCAGGCCACAACAACTGTAGAAAGTTATTGTGTATCATATTTAACAAACCGTTTACTATGAATTTTATGTCATTTTGCTAATTTGGATAATTGAATATTAATCAGATGATGTCATTACGCTGCTGTGCCGTCAGCCAATCGTTGCATTGCTAATCATGATTTCGAGGATCGATAGATCAGTCCTTCACAACAGAAAACATTCGCAAATTTGTTTGAAGAACCAAATTAGCCAGAGATCAGTTATCAAGATTAAAAGATCCAGGATCTGTCAAATCATCTTAGATCATTTAAAAGTGCAGTAGGTAATCTGCCAAAATGCTAACCGCTTAGCATATTATCTTTAGACGGCGGGGAGGGACTGTGATTCAAAGCCACGCCTTCTGAAATCGCAAACGCGCACAGAGCGTCACAACAGCAGACAACCCACTAGTTCATGTCATTTGCCAGTCAGTTAGTGTTTGGCCGGCGGCATGCAGGAATTACATTTATTACTAAGCCATACTTACATGCTATTTCAGAGCAAATATTCAGAGTAGCATGGTAAACAGTATAGGAAGGCTGTCATTGTTAAAAAATTAACCAATGTGAATATGAAAGCAACTTCAGCTCAATAAAGCAGGTTAGGCGGAATAGCGCTATTTTACTGATGTTTTGTTGATAAACAAAAAATAAATCTACATTATCATAGCTGTAAAAGGCCCTTATAAAAATGAAAATAGTCACATCAATCTTTCGCCCGCCATGTCTTTCTCACGTCTGTGCATATAAGCTATTCATAACGCAACACAATCTAACATAAGCTTAGCCTGACTAAAATAATTTTAAAACAGAACATTACCTGTCTAACAGTAATACCTCAGCTATGGTGTCGTCCTTCCTCCAGCGTGCAAAAGTAACTCCAATATTGATTCAGGATTTTTAAGTTTAAATTTCACCGCGTCTGTGATTGTCCCGTGAACACGTATCGCTCATGCAGGCGGGCACGCGCGAAAGGTGGATCTGCGTGAACAGATGCGCAGAAGTCCGATTCTACATTTGCTGACAGACAGTTTGAGCTACTTATCGCAATTATGGGAGATGTCGGCCCGACAATATTTAATTGTATGAAAATTTTTTTGTTTTATGAACTACGCCAAATATAATAATACATATAAACACATTTCAATCATTTACTTAAATCATTACTATTGGACTGTGAAGAGACTTTCAACCAGCGCAACAAAAAATGTTTCTGAAGACAATCACCTACTGCACCTTTAAGCGAGGTACAAGAACAGACCCCTGCTAAACAAAACTGGAAAATAGTGAAAGATTTGGGAATACTAGCAAGATTTTACTTCATTTTACTACTCCAATATCTACTCCAACCATAATTGTAAGCATACCAAACAATTCTGAATAAAAACACTTGTAGGTTTAAGATTTGTCTTCTATAAGCTTGAATTGACGATCTCACAATGTGCAGTTTTGTTCAATTTGTGACGTAATTTGAACTAAAACTTGAAGACCGGGTAGGACAGACTAGCCCCTCCCCCCTTTTGCTATAATAAAATGTCTGCCAGTGAGTATGGTTGACCTTCTAAAAAAGAGGGCGGGACATGTCAGATAATAGGGAGCATTTGATTGGTCAGAATATTTGATGTAAAATATGAGGTGACGTAAAGGAAAAACAATCCATTTAGGAGGAAGTGACAAGCTTCTAGCTTTGGATGCTCATATCTTCTAAATGCAAATGTTGTCAGTGTTTTGGAGCACACTAGCTTACACATAACCTTAAGACTAACATACTGATGCGAACATCTAAAAAACTTTATTATGATCTCATGGGGACTTTAATTACTAGCACAGATTTTACTTGCATTTGCTTTGTCTGCGGTATTTACTTGATCACAAAATCATTTTATCGGTTTATCAACTCCGTATCCATTAATAACCACAGAAGAATCATGTTAATATTCGATTTCACTCTTTTGGAGGCTTTAGAAATATTGGATGAGAAACGACTTACCAATGTCCTTGCCTTTGACAAAGCTTTCCCATTCCCGGAACCACTGCATGCTGATACAGTATATCACCACAGGAGACTCCTCCTCCTGAAACGCCTTATTGAGCTACATGAAGGACAGAAAGAGGGAAAGAGAACACAGCACATGAGACCAAGCAGGAAAAAGCACACTATTGCATGAGCACATTTATTTTATTTAGGTTTCTTTTCCTATTAAAAATTTAATAAACTAATAAAAAATGTATTCCACTGCTTTGTGTCTAGTTTGTGCTAGAGGAAAACTTGGCTCTTTGTGAAAAAACCTCATTTTAATATCAACAAAAGTGATAAAGCTTATAATACTAAATCTGTTGACATTTTTTGCTATTTCTGTGAGGAACTCACACGCACGCACGCACAGTTGAAGTCAGAATTATTGGCCCCCCTTCAAATTTTTTTGTTCTTTTTTTAAATATTTTCCAAATTATGTTTACCAGAGGAAGGAAAATTTCACATTATGTCTGATAATATTTTTTCTTCTGGAGAAAGTCTTATTTGTTTTATTTCGGCTAGAATAAAAGCAGTTTTACATTTTTTAAACACCATTTTAGGGACAAAACTATTAGCCTCTTTAAGCTATATTTTTTCTCGATAAACTATAAAACAAACCCTCATTATATAATAACTTGCCTAATCACCCTAACCTGCCTAGTTAACCTAATTAACCTAGTTAAGCCTTTAAATGTTACTTTAAGCTGTATAGAAGTGTCTTGAAAAATATCTAGTAAAATATTATTTACTGTCATCATGGTAATCATCATTTAAAATGTGTTAAAAAATGTGTCTCTGTTTAACAGAAATTGAGGAAAAAATAAACAAGAACAATTCTGACTTCAACTGTATATACCAGACACACGAGGTGCTGTTTGCACGAGTGTTGGCGTTTTGTTTTATAATGAAAACACAACTCGTCTGTTGTTTATTGCGTTTCAGAAAAACAGGTTTGTCACCACTTTTGGGGAAAGGTACTTTTTAACGTAGTGCATTACAATATTAAGTTACACCCCCCGCCCTTCGTAAAAGTGCTTTACATAAACAGGAATAAAAGAGACAAGTATAAGAAAAATAAAAATAAAAACAAATAATGATTAAATGATTAAAAAAATGGATAAAAACAGATAAAATGTGTTAAAATAGGTTCTAAAAGAATGAAAAAGAAGAGAAAAACATAAGTGTGATCTGTCGGACGTAGCACAGTGCTCATTCAGTAATGGCACAGCTAAACAGATGTGTTTCAGTCTTGATTTGAATGTGCCTAATGTTGGAGCACATCTGATCATTTCTGGAAGCTGATTCCAGCAGTGAGAGGCGAAGTTGCTGAAAGCCGATTCACCCTGCTTTGACTGAACTCTTGGAATTTTTAGTTTATATAATCCTAAAGATCTGAGTGATCTATTAGGTTTGTATTCAGTGAGCATATCTGTAATTTATTGAGGCCATTTAGTGATTTATAGACAAGTAATAATACTTTAAAATCTATTCTGAATGTAACTGGGAGCCAGTGTAAAGACCTGAGGACCGGTGTGATGTGCTCTGATTTTCTGGTTCTGGTCAGAATCCTGGCTGCAGCGTTATGGATGAGCTGCAACTGTCTGACTGTCTTTTTGGGAAGGCCCGTGAGGAGGCCGTTACAGTAATCCACCCTGCTGCTGATAAAAGCATGAACAAGTCCTCACTGGAAATGAAGCATCTGATTCTTGCAATGTTTTTGAGATGATAGTATGCTGATTTACTGACTGCTTTGACATGACTATTGAAACTCAGATCTGACTCCAGAGTCACACCAAGATTCTTGACTTTATTTTTGTTGTTGTTTGACCTTTAGTGCTAAGGTACGCATTCACTTTCAGAACCTCATCCCGGTTCCCAAATGAAAAAAAAAAAAATCTGTGAATTTCCATGTGGTCTGAGCTAGCCAACTAGTAAGTGGAAGATACTAAATCCCTTACAAATCAAAACTCAGCATCATATCATCAAATTATAGAGCATGAACATAAACAACTGATGCAAAAAAAAATGAAGATACAAGATCTTGTGATGTTAAAATGTGACTTCATTGAGGTGAAAAGCTGTCTCACAATATCAGCAGCAGAGAGTGTGAGGGTGAAAATGAGGAGAGCAGCAGGAGTACAGATATCACTGAATATGTGATGAGCGTCAGGACTAATGACTGAGACCATTGGAGGATTTTGTACAAAAGTCTAAGCATTTGACAATTTTACTTATCACTGCTGCTTTATGCACGCAGAGCTGGCATAAATGCAAATTCGAAAGGAGAAGGAAAATACGAGCAAACCTTAAAAAGTGATTAATAGCAGCTCCTTGATGTATACAAATCACATTGCACAAAATATCTCACAATATCTACATGACCAAGACCATTTATAATTCTGGGTTCCCACCAGTTGTGTTGTGCCACTTGCTTTAAATTACTCAAAGGATGTTTTTCCTCTCACATAAATTTTGTGCTCCTTTATGAATGCTTGCAAAATATGTGTGTGCCCAGTGAGGGTAAATGGTCACGTATCATGTATCTAAGGCCCCGTTTACACTAGTGCGTTTTAGTTTGAAAACGCATAAGTTTTGCTACGGTTACGCCATCCGTCCACACTACGCCGGAGTTCTCGAGCGCCGAAAACGGAGCTTTTTGAAAACGCTGGAAAGGCAGTTTTCATTCTAAAACGCTGCTGCTCCGTCTCAGTGTGGATGGGGAAGACATCTGAAAACGGAGGCGGGGCTGCAAACGTTCGCCTATCTGATTGGGGCTTTTCCTCAATAAGTAGCCCACACACAGTTCAGTCTCGCATCCTCTTCTTGTAAGTTAAGACTTCGCAAGTTTGATCAAGGCTGCAGTCTCCCCCTTCTCAGTTTGATATGGAAAACATACCGAGGACATGCGTCAATCTTCAAAGGGAACAGTGTACTTTATAACTTCATTCACATCACCTTGGCTATGTTGTTTCACTTTCTCAACAATAAAATGTAAACATGATTTAAGGAACTGCCTATTTTCTTTTTAATATTAGCAACTTAACAGAAAGCAGAAATGTTGAGGCGCCGTGCTGCATGAGCGTCATCTTCACTGTGTGGATATTTATAACAAAACGGAGCCTATAACAACTGCCTCCTTTCAATTTCAGTGAAAATACGAAACACACCCTCTCTTTTGCTGAATATCAGTTTTAATAATCGATAATGGCCATTACAAAAGTATAACATACAATAAGTTTATACATTGTAGGAAATAAAGGCAAGCGATCAGTCAATGTACCTGGATTAATCATTAACTTATCTTTGCGCTTAACCAATGTTACCCGTGAACAAGTAACTTAATAGATTCCAATGACCAAAGTCAGGGAATTGGCCTATGTCGTTAGATAAAGACAACAACATGAATGAAATATCACGTTTAGCAAATATAGTGAGATTAGATCCAGCGGGAGATGCTTGATGAGCAGTCTGACAAGCAGAGCTCTCATCTGGGTAGAAATGCTGGAGCGCTTGCCCGAGAGTGTGTGTGTGGTCACGTGATGTGAGTTTTCAGCGTTTTGGTGTGGACGGAGAGCTGTTCAGAAATGCTGGGTAAAACGCGAGTGTGGACGCGGATCGTTTTCATTCTACAACGCCGTTTTAAAACTAAAACGCACTAGTGTAAACGGGGCCTTAGGCTGCGTAGTGACAACAAAGATTCATTCATTCATTTTCCTTCTGCTTAGTCTCTTATTTATCAGGGATTGCCACAGCGGAATGAACCGCCAACTATTCCAGCATATGATTTACACAGAGGATGCCTGTCTAGCGGCCACCCAGTACAGGGAAACACCAATACACTCACACATTCACACCCACACACAGCCATCGTTCCACCCCACAATAGAGATTGTTTTTCTGTAATGCAATGAAAACGACTGTACGAGTAGCGTTTTCATTATAAAACCAAAACACAAACACTCCAGTGTAAACAGCACCTAGTGTGTCTAGTTGAAATCAAGTACTTTACTTCTCATGCATTAATAATGACTGCCATTTTGGGGGGATGGGCAAAGGTCACACTTTTGATCTCAGCCAAAAGGGGTTGTTCTGCTGGGGTGGGTGCACACTTTAAAGGCGAAATTGTAAAAAGCTCCTAAATAATTTAGTCAAATAGATTGTTAACATGCTTTAATGTTATACAACACATTATTTATCACACAATGTACATTACATACTTTCAAGTACTGCAAACCTCTATTCTTAGTCTGTCATAAATGCTATGATTGAAATTCGGGTGACACTCCACACCATTTACTGCTGGCTTATTACTAGGGCCAGACAGAATCTGCGGACATTTTTTGCTATTTCTGCTGAGAATTTTGTAAAAAATCTGCGTATTTATGCAGAATTATTTTGAGAGTATGACAATTAAAACCTTAATATCTAAAATAAAAAGTAATACCTTTTTAACTTTTATTTATTTTTACAATCCAAATCCAATAAGATCCACTTTATTTGGTAAACAAAGCAAGTCTCTCATATAATATATCTACTAAAAGACAGAAAATATGACTTTACAAACAAATATTGCAAATAAATTACATGAAATTTTCATATTAGTCAATAATTATAAAGAAATTAATTTAAAAACTAAATAAATTTAAGTTTACATACATTTACACAAGAGAACAGAATCAACAATGGGTTAAAAATCTGCACAATTCTGTGCGCACAGATTCCGTATGGGCCTACTTATTACCTTATTAAGATATTAACTGTTTATTATCACTTATACTGTATGATCTTATTTTTACAAACCTAAACCTACCCAATAGCTAAACCCAACTACTACCTTACTAACTATTAATAACAGCTAATTAGTAGTTTATTAACCAGTTAAACTCTGCTGTTATTTTGAAATTTTCGTCTGGATTTTGCCTACCCAAATTCAAAAGCTTCCCAAATCCACATGCAGAGGTGTAAATGCTAAAATTTGGTATAATTTTAAAGAAAACCTTATGAATTTTCATAAAACACTATTGAAAGTGTTTAGAATAACTGTATATGTCGTCTGTGTTATAATAAACACCTAAAAAAAGAGGCACTTTTTGTATTTTTTTATAAACTCAAATTTGAAAGTGTACCTTTTAGGTTCTGTGTGGTCTAGTGTGCTGTTATTAATTTTGGTGGTTCATGCACATGTCTGTAATCATAGGAAAAAAGAAAAATGTCTCTAGCATAATCTATGCAAAAGTTATTGTATTCCAACTGATGAGAGGTGCTATACAAGCCACAGGGATCGATCAATGTTTTCATATTTCACTATTGTTCTGTTTGATCAAGCATAATTCACCGTGTTTGGACGTCAGACATATAAAAGGATTACTTATGCACATCACCTCAAACACAGAGGAGAAATGGCCCTGAAGCGCACAGCATAAGGTAAGAGATGACAGCTGTCTGTGCTATCTGGGGCTGCTTATTGATCATAAATATATTGTTTTCACTTCTGCACCATGGAAAGACCGCAATTCATTCGACAACTGTTTGATATGTGAATATAAATCAGTAAAAAGAATGCTAGCACCGTATGAGCACTGGCAAGAGCTTTCATTTGAGCTATAACTTGTACGTGTGTCATATGAAAAATATAAAAATGAACCAATGTAAAATACCTAGCTCGGGTATCCAAAATACTACTAATATCGATACCACTTATCGGTTCGGTACTTTAACGGTTCGCTTATTGGTACTTTTTGTAGTTTTTCTTTATAAAAAAAAAAAAAAAAATTAACAGAATTTACAACTTTCTTTTATATTTATGTTTTATATATAAAATAAGACAAAACCAATAATTGTAAAACAAATTAAAAAAAAATTTCCTGTAAAAAAAATGTACAATGGTTTGAAGGAAAATGAGTCTCAGTTTTTAACCATTCTTTTTGAGAAAAATCATCAGCCTAAAATTTGCAGTTTCAAAAAGTTATAAATGATTATTTGTGTGGTATTTTGAGTGGAAACTTCACATACACATTCTAGGGATATCAGAGACTCATTTTAGATCTTGTATAAAAAAATTAATAAATAAATATATATATATATAAAAAAGGGGCAGCATTAACAACAGCAGCTGCGGCTCTTACCCGAACAAACATGTCCAGTTCATTCTTGCGTCGTTTCTCCAGCTTCTCAATCTCATTCTGGCAGGTGTGGCAGACATACAAGTGATTGACGGCAGGTCCGCCTCCATACCTAAACAACAGTGAGCCAACAATCAGCATTTAATAAAAACCTGAACTCGCACAGGAAGCCAGGAAAAGAGAAGTGACAACTCTTACCTGCTATAGAGATGGTCCCACACGTTTTGGGGAATCATCAAAACAAGGTCATCAATGTATGCGGCCTTATTCGGCGGAATACCTGTTAAAATAGAAAAATAAAACAAGACATTTTGAGTTAGATTTTTGCTACCCAATATGACAATTGGGGACCTTTTCCATAAAAGTCATCATGAAACTGCTTTGAAGAAGATTCATAAAAAACTAGAAGCTTAAGTTCGTAGTTGTGATGAGAATGTGACATATCATTTTAGTGGGTCAGACCTTTGAATCTTGTTTATTTCACGAGTTCACCTGCTCAATCAGTTGCATCAACATGGTAAACCATTTTGGAGATGCTTTACTGAAGCGGGGGCCTGAGCTATCAAACCCGTAATGCTGTGTTTACATGAGACGTGGCATGCGAGGATAAATAGACACGTCAACATTAAGTTTACTTGCTTCATTCGTGCGTCAAATCCGCTTCATGAGCGCGTCAAATTTACTTCACAAAAAAGCTAATTCGCGTCATGTCTGGCTGGTTACTCTAGCTTCATTGCTAAACAGCGAACATTAATTTTATTGAGAAAATAGCTGTGTTTTTGTGGTTTTATGAAGGCTGAAAAACAGCGTTGATTTGTTTGGAGCCGTGCCTGAGTCAATTAAATCCATTTACAGGTGCACCCAGCTCTGTGAATTCCTCAACTCCTCCAGAAACTATACCTGGATGATGGAAGCTTTCAGCCATATTTCAGACTGAGCCCAGCCCAGTTTGACTAACTGTTGTCTGGTGTCGGCAGGAGGATTTTCACCGGGACACCAGCAACTGGCGCCATGTCAAAATCACACCTCCCAACAAAACAAAGCTCTTGGTTAATGCGCCACGAATGTCTGCTGAAGTTCAGATTTTCCGACTCAAGCGATTCAATAAATTGCACAAACCGCTCAACTTGCGCTGCTTCATTAGCACAAATCACCTCATCTGCGCGTATTGCACCGCAGGATGTCTATTCCACTGAGCCACAGTGTCACTATTATTCATATTTTCTTTTTTATATTTCTTTATTTTTCTTTATTTTATTAAGCACTGACTTGTATACAGTTATATATTAAAACATGAATAGATTTGTTTTTCTTTTACGGTGTTTGATTTGGGTGAGTAAAGTACAGATAATAATATTACTGTTGAATGTCTGATAATAAAAATGTCAGATAATAAAAAGTCTCTAGTTCACTGTATGTATTTGTTCATGTTTTATTAATGGATAAGTCTGAAGCGCACAATAAATTAAATCTGTCAATTTATACAGGGCTAGTATTATACACAACTGTTACTACAGATACACACTCAGGTATCGGTTTATTACTCAGTATTGGTCGATACCCTGAGCTCAGTGCTTAATATGAGCCAGATCTTGTCAGATCCTGTTCCAGGAAATGTCAGATATTTGTGTTTTGCGTTCCAGTATTTATTTGAACTGATGCGGCATTAACTTTTGCGTAGTGAATACCTGCGTGTGTGTGTGTGTTTGTGAGAGAGAGAGAGAGAATGTGAATGAGTGAAAAACAGTGAACAAAGCTGTGTGGATATTTAAAATCTTACGTTTATGTTTACAATCACAAGTGAGCTGAATGCCAGTGGTGTTATTAAACTCGATAGTAATGTTTTAAACGATTTATGCTTGTTTGTTTTATGTATGGTTGACCCACAACATTATGCTGCACAAAATAATTAAAGACCGTTCTGAAATGTGATGCTTTTTTTGTTATAACCGCTTAGAAAGTCATGTTCTGGGAAAACTGAAATTGTTTGGTGGACGTCTGTGACGGTAACTTTTATTTCGGGGTTTTGTAGCGAAAATTATTCAATTACAAATTAAGCACCGCCTGAGCTCAGGTATCTGAATCATCATAGGGAGGGTAAAAAAAGGTATCAGAACATCCTTAAACAACTTGCAATGCTGAACACAGCTTTTGGCCAAATTTGTGGCTTGTAGCATTAAAGTTCATCTCAGTAGACGGAACAATAATAATATGTTTTAATAATATATAAGCATGTTGGCTTAAAATTAATCACATCTTTTAGATTAAATTCATTTGAATCTGTTCAAACATATGAGAAGAAGCGAAGGAAAAGGCCTTTGAAATGCTTTCTGAGGACACAGACAGAAATTCGCTGATCTCAGACTTTCAAGTTACATTCAAGAGAAAGCAAGGGAAAAACACATATAATCACTGAAAGGGATGTTGGAGCACTTAACCTCCGTAACATCCGTGGAATTTGCAATTACATTACTTTAAAATAAAAAAGTGCTAAAAGGCTTAATAAGAGGAGTCGTCACCTCCATGGGCACACAGGAAGTCATGGTTGGAAATGGGTCCTGGCTCAGCAAAAGTTTTGAACTTGTTCAGCCACTGGCGGGAGACGTAGAACTGCAGGAGGCTTGGCTCCATCATGTTGAACAGACTGGTCACCTTCCTCCTTTCCTTCTGAGTCTCATCATTACTCTTCCTGTTACACACACACACAAATGAATGATATCAGTTCCACTTAGTGACCGTCAGCGCGTATGTTTCACAGCACAGAGATTTACAGTTAGACTCAAGGCCATTTTCCCTGCTCAAAACAACCTTGAGCTTTTTTGTTAAATAGCTGCATCATTTTTACCTTGTACGCAATACTTAGGGAAAATAAATAGGTAATATTCTTGTCAATCATGTAAAACAATATTTAACCATTTATCTCAATCAAAAAAGTCACAAATAGGCCCATAAAGCACATAAAGTGTAAAGTTAGTGTCAAAAAACATCATATTTTAACATTTTCACATACTTTCACCGACATATTTTCTTTAAAAGCAGCAGCCCTGATGATAACTACCAAAAATTAATTCATTTATGAGAATGTAACCATTTAAATTGCTATTTGTTTACATAAATCTATGGCATTTTTATTTTTTAATACCTAAAATCTATTATTTTCCATGCACCAAAGTCTAAGCAGATATTTTTATTATTATAATTTATTTTCTTTCAGCTTAGTTCCTTATTTATTATTTTTATTATTATTGTTATTATTATTACCATTATTATTACTGTTATTATTACTATTAATATTATTATTGACTGACTGATCATTACATCCTTGGATAAATTAATTATCAGAAGCTAAATTAATTTGAAAACATCATTGATTAAATCTATGCAATTTCAAAACACATAAAACTAACTCTGATATCCATATATCCTATAATACATGCATATAATAACATCTTAAATAACCGTTACAATGAATAAATGAAAAATCTGTTTGGACTGCGGTGCTCAAAAGCAGAAGAGCAAAGCTCCACAAGCTAAACTTAGCAGGTTTGATCTTTTTTTTTTTTTAACACAATTTTAAAGTCTTTCAAACAAAACGGAAACCCATTAACAAAGAATGTATGGCATTTGTTTTATCTTAATAAAGAATGTTTGACCTTCATTTTCCATTCTTCATTAATGGCAATTAACAACTGACACATCAATGGGTTATACAGAACAGGGGTTTTCAATTGTTGAATGCCATGGCCTACAAAACATGAAACACATCAATATGCTTTCTTGTATGCATAATGTATAATAATGCGTATATAATGATGTGAAGACTGTGGTAATAGATTAAGAAGCAGACATTTCAGAGAATATATATATATATATATATATATATATATATATATATATATATATATGTGTGTGTGTGTGTGTGTGTGTGTGTATGTGTATATATATATATATATATATATATATATGTATATGTGTGTGTGTGTGTCTATGTATATGTGTATATATATATATATATATATATATATATATATATATATATATATATATGTACGGGCTCCAAATTAAAACTGTAGCACTGGTGCTCCTAACTTTAAAAATGTAGGCACATCAGCCAAAATTATGTCGCACACACCAATTAAAAGCACCGTTACTACAAGTTTTATACAAACATATTTATTGCATTAGAAAACAACAGTAATCAAACTAACAAGCAAAACATATAGATAAATGTATGCGTGAGGAAAATGTCTCAACAAAATTCCGTTATCACAAGAAAATACATTTTTATAACATAACTGAGTGACCAAAAGATACACGGACCGTTCACCGACCCTGCACGCACTGCTTGACATGAATGAATCTGTTAACGATATAACTGTGCTGTTCTCGCGGGTTCTGTCTGATAATGCACTGATGCTTTTGACATATACTGTACTTTATTATATGCTTACGTCAAGTTAATAGTAATACCGGCCTTTTCATGAGTAGCGATATTAGTTTACTCAGTGTAAGCCCGTTTGTGATGGTGTATGTGGTGTTAAATTTTACATAAAGCTGCCACTTGCACGGCAGACAGCATCTGGCGATTATATGAAGGATTAAACTGAAGCTCTCATGCTAGATATGGCAAAAAGTTACCTGAAAATTCGATCCCACAGACTTTTCATAGCGGACTTGAAGCTAAATGAAGTCTTATATCCACTCTTTTGAAAAGTGTAGATGATGGATTAACATTCTGCACATGATCACTACTAAGATGTGTCATTATGTGTAACTTTAGATGCCATGGTTTCTAAAACAAAATCTGTCAGTGTTATTTTCATTTTCATCCTTAGCGCTTTACATTTTCACGGTTGTAGCTCTCCCTGTCATCCCAAGCCAGAAGGCATTGACTGAGTGATTGATAGCTGATATTAACCAATCCATTCGCGTTCAGTTTTAGAGCAGTGGGCCAATAAGAAGAGCGTGAAGGCGGGGCAAGCATTGCAGGCTTTGTTTACTGCAGCAAGTTGACATGACAACTGTTTTAAACCATTTCTGAGCTCTGCGTTTCGCGTTTCAGGTGCAAAAATGCATTCTGTGTGAACGTCTCCTAAATCCACGCATGCGGTGAACATTTTGCAGTAAAAACAACACACAACAATTGTATCGCACAAATGCTCCCAAATATATTTTGAGGTCGCATAGATAAAATTTCGAGCGCATATGCGACCAAAATGGTATATATATGTGCAATCTATTAATCAAATTATCTGGAGCCTAGTTTAAAGGAAGGAAGTCTACTTTAAATTAAAATATTTAAAAAAATGTATAACTTTAACACACAAATAGCATAGTTTCCTGACAATGGACGGTTTATAAGTGCATTTCTGTGTGTGTGTGTGTGTGTGTGTGTGTGTGTGTGTGTGTGTGTGTGTGTGTTCTCACTTGTAAAAGAGCACATATGCCTCAGCGTTTTGAACACAGGACTCTGACACTTCAGTAACGCTCTGGTCGTCAAACTCGTACCACAGTTGGTTCAGCTCATTCCGACAATAGGCAATATAGTGGCCACCTTAAACAAAATAAAAACACATTAAAATGTTAGCCTCATCCAAGCCTAGACCTCAAAACACATGATATGGAATACAAAATGTATGCATTATCAGACTTGTACCATTTCCTGCTCCCATTGACCTGTCTTACTCGAAAAAGCACTTACCACCGAAACCAAAAGGAAATTTATCCATGTGAATGAAAGCTGAGTTTTTTTAAAATGTTTACCATTGTTTTAAATGTTCCCGTTGTAAAGTTTGAAGGAGGGATGAACAATAATATGTAATCACAATCGGCTGATATCAGCATATAAATAATTATCGGCACCAATAATTGTTCACATAAACCATAGCCTAAATACAGTTGAAACCAGAAGTTTACATACACTCTAAAAAAAAAGGAACATAACCATTTTTTTTTTAAATGTCTGATGGTAAATCATACTTAACGTTTACGATTTTAGGTCCGTTAAAATAACCGAAATGATTTACATTTGCTAAATGCCAGAATAATGAGAGACATTTTTTGAGAATGTTTTATAAATTCCTAGACAGTCCAAAGTTTACATACATTTCCTTGGTATTTTTTTAGCTTTGCTTTTAAACTGTATAACTTTGGTCAAATGTTTTGGGTATCCTTCCACAAGCTTCTCACAATAGTTAAAGAAAAGGAATTTTGGCCCATTCCTCCTGACAGAATTGGTGTAACTGAGTCAGATTTGTTGGGTGTCTTGCTCGCACAAGCTTTTTCAACTCTGCCCACAAATTTCTATAGGATTGACAGCAGGGCTTTGTGATGGCCACTCCAAAACATTCACTCTGTTGTCCTTAAAGCACATTTTAACTAATTTGGCAGTATTCTTAGGGTCATGGTCTGTTTGGAAGACCCATTTGTTGCCAAGTTTTAATTTCCTGACTGATGTTTTGAGATGTTGCTTCAGTATTTCTACATAATGTTCTTTCTTCATGATGCCATCTATGCTGTGAAGTGGACCAGTCCCTCCTGCAGCAAAACAGCCCCACAACATGATGCTGCCGACCCCATACTTCAAAGTTGGGATGGTGTTCCTAGACTTGTAAGCTTTCCCCTTTGTCCTCCAAATGTAACACAGGTCATTATGGCCAAACAGTTCAATCTTAGTTCCATCAGACCACAGGACATGTCTCCAAAAATATTCTATTTCCCAGTGTAATCTAGCAAATTGTAATCAGGCTTTTTTTTTTTTTTTTTTTTTTTTAATTCTGCCTTGTTGATTTGACAATGTTGTCACACAAGGAAGCAGTGTGTTTGAGGTTTTCCTTAAATACTATTCTACAGTTGTGCCTCCAATTAACCAAAAATGTTGTCAATTAGCTAATCAGAAACTTCCAAAACCTTGAGACCATCATCTGAGCTTTTTCAGAGGCATACTATTCTTATTGTATGTAAACTTGACTTTCAAGAAAAGTTATAACAATTTCTAAAAAAATGTCTCTCTTATTATTCCGCTATTAAGCAGAACAGAAACACATTTGATAACCCTAACTTACCTAAAAGAGAAAAAGTTTAGTCAAATTAACATCTGACTGACTTTTTTTTATGGTTATGTGCCTTTTTTATACAGTGTATGTAAACTTCTAGTTTCAACTGTATATAAACAAACACAGATTTTGCATTAAAAAGCCCAAAATTTTTCCAGTACATAGTGTAAAATTAGATATCGGTATTAAAAATCGGTAAAAATTATTAAAATATATCAGCATAACGTATATTGCAAAAAATATTTCCAATATTGTGCAATCTTAGTTTGAGGTAAGATTTGTAAAAAAAATTAATTAATTAATAAAAAATCAGGATGCATTAAACTTTGCTTATAATTTAAATAACTTACGTTTTAATTTACAAAAGATTTCTGTTATAAATGCAGTTAATGATCCTGAAAAAAAGTTCCACATAAACATCATACAGTAAAAGACACTATAACAATCGTGCTGATTAGTTCATAATTAATGATCAGCATACAAGAATGATTTCTAGTTGCACTGAAGACGGGAGTAAACAGCTGCTGAAATTCCAGCTTTCTTTTTCTATCCCTGAAATAAACAACATTTTCATATACAGTTTAAGTCAGAATTATCAGCCCTCCTGTTTATCTTTTTTTGTTTAACAGAGAGATTTTTTTCAACACATTTATAAACAATAGTTTTATTAACTCATTTTTAATAACCGATTTCTTTTATCTTTGCCATGATGACCGTAAATAATATTTTACTAGATATTTCTCAAGATACTTCTATACAGCTTAAAGTGACATTTAAAGGCTTAACTGGGTTAATTAGGTCAACTAGGCAAGTAAGGGTAATTAGGCAAGTTATTGTATAACAATGGTTTGTTTTGTAGAAAAATTGCCCAAAGGGCCTACATTTTGCCCTTAAAATGGTGTTTAAAAAATTAAAAACTGCTTTTATTCTAGTCGAAGAAAAACAAATAAGACTCTCTCCAGAAGAAAAAAATATTATCAGACACTGTGAAAATACCCTTGCTTTGTTAAACATCATTTGGGAAATATTTAAGAGAGAAGAAAAAGTAAATAAAAAAATCATAGGGGGGCTAATAATTCTGACTTTAACTATATATTAAAATAGAAGTTTTAGGTCATAGTATGATTTCCCAATATTACTGTAATTTTAAATTAAGCTTAGGTAAACATATGATACTTTTCAAAACCTAAAATAAATATTCCAAACTTACGAAATGTAGTGTGCATCTATTTATATTTGAAATATAATACAAACAGTTAAATGGATTATTTTGTTATATAGCTACTGTCAGTAGTTATGTTTCCATTAAAGTAAAAAATGTATGCACAAAAAAGGAATATTGCATAAAAGATTTCCAAAAAAGTAGCATGGGAGAAGTTTAATGTGTCTTTTTTCATATAATTAATTACTTGAACCTTGAAAGACGATGTCGAATACGACACACATTGAACGAACGGTGGCTTTTGGAAGCATGAGACGCTCTTTGGGAGTGCAGCAGCTCAAGACAGTTTTGAAGGTAATAATCATAATACTGAACCTCTGTGATGACAGACTTTGCGCAAGGCATTTTAGAATGACCAAAACAACATTTCAGATGTTTTACAATGTGTACAATTTGTTGAATGTTTGACCTCATTGTATAACATCTGACATGTTTTATTTAATCAATGCTGTCCTATTAATGGCATCCCATCACACCCATTTTTATCACATGATCCCTTGATGTGCATACTTGAAATTTTGGTAAAAGTGTTTTTATCATAGTTCATGCACATTTTTTCTCTTGTTATTGGAAAGTTTGATGTTTTTTAGCACATTTTCAAAAATGATGTGCATCTTGGCATTTCCATCAAGCATCATTTAATGCGATATTCCGAAATGTGCATAATAATAGGTGGATGGAAACATAGCTAATGACTAAAAACTTATATTAAAAGTTATACTAAAGTTATAGTAAACTTACTGCTGGCAGTGCCATGGTGACAGATGACTGAAAGCAGGTCATAGGTGGTGGTCAGGGCAGAGCTGTCCTTGGCCAAAAAGGGCTGCATTTCAAGGCCTTCCAGAGGGAATGACACATGAGTGCCGATTTTGGTGGAGAACATCAGTTCATGTCTGAAGCGCTTGAGATGAATGCACAAAATCTGTCGGGGAGATAGAAGGAAGAATATTAACAAAGCAGGGACTTTTAGGTTTCAACAACAAAAACTCGTGACTAATAAAGATGGAATTAAATTAAAATTGACTGATCTTACTTTTAAATCTATATAGCAGTGTAGAATCAATGTACTTCTTTATTTCGTAAAAATTAATTTGCTCTCAATCAAATACCATAACTAGGCTTGGTCGGTATCCAAATTTTAATACCGTCAAACCTTCTCCCTATTTTACCTTGGTATCCGGTATTACCGCGCATGATAAAAAAAATTATAATGTAAGACAGCCAGTGTCACCAAACTATTGGCTTGTGCCTAAACCATTCAAAAACTGAATACCGTATATGCGACCTTAGGTTCGCGGTCACCTGTTTGTTGCACAATTTGCAAATTGTCTTGTTTGTATTAGAGATCTGCACGCTGTCTGTATTAACTCACACACACATAGGATCAGGCTCTCTCATTTACACACGCACACACACGCACGCACACACACACACACACACACGCACGCACGCACGCACGCGCGCGCGCGCACGCACGCACGCACGCACACACACACACACACACACACACACACACACACACACACACACACACACACACACACACACACACACACACACACACACCACCAAGCCAGCGACGCACAGCATCACGCTCGCTCTCATTCACACACATACATATAAGGATGACTTAAGCTGCGTCCCAAATTGCACACGAATGCACTATTATACGCCATTTTTTAGTATAAATTAAATGTGGACACTTCACGCACTAGCAGAAGGGACGGAGCTATCGGGCACACATGTTGGATAACCATTTATTTTGGATGGTGAAAGCAAATTTCTCCTGCGAGAGTGATTATAGCGCCTCCCGATGGTGAATGCGGTTATACACATGGCAGGTATTATTTAATAGTTTGCTCCCTTATTTGACTGATTTGGCAACCGTCAAACGTCACCAGGGAAACGGTTTGATTTTACGCTTATTAAAAAAACCTTAGTGCTCCATTTGGGATGACACTGCAGACATATACTATGCTGTTGAGTGTGTAAGTGCATAAGTACATAGTGCATGAGTGCATGTGTTCATAGTGTATAGTGTGCCTTTTGCGACGCAGCGTTATACATCTGCATCAAGCGTACACGTATGCTACGGCGCGGCCTACATGTGGATGCATAGCCCCCGCCGGGGCACGCACCTCTCAAAAAGTATTATTGAAGAACAACAGAAACAGCGCGCAGAAGTATAAATCCACAGATACGTGTGTTGCATGCGCCGTGGTTCACACTGATCACTTGACGCAGAAGTATGAACCAGGCTATACACACACAAACACACACACACATAAACAGCATGAATGCTCGGGAATGATATTGTTAGACCACCCGCTCCAGGTCAAATTACACCAGAGTTACCAACCGCGCCCGAAATTTATTCCCGCACCCGCAAGACATCTGGTCGGGTCCTGTGGCTCCCACGGTACAGAATGCAGACTTCTAGTTCGTATTTACCACATCTCTCTTTTCATTCAGTCGAAAACCAAACTACTGCCAAACTGCACAGCTTGTGTTCTTTTTCAAGACCAGGGACCTCATGCATCAACGCTGCGTGCACACAAAAACTTAGCGTAAGCCAGGTTTCACGATCAACTTTGGATTTACTAACGATGAAATGAACGTGAGAATGTGCGTTTGTAAACGCCAACTTCATGTCTGGCGTACGTGCATTTCTTGAGTGTGCTTGTTTTATTTCCATTGGCGACTCCTAGAGGCAATTGTGTTAAATTACACACTACAAAGTATCTTTGAGACGTGCCATACCAACTGTGGGATCATCCGCATGTCTAGCAGGTATATAAAGTTTAATTACCATACAGTTGACCAGCCAAACAGAGATTGCCCATTTTCCCAATGTAATCGGAGTGATCGACTGCACGCACATTGCTATAAAGGCGCCATCTCAAGATGAATTTGCATACCTGAATCAGAAACATTTCCATTCAATAAATGTGCAAATAACATGTGATGCTCAAATGCACTTAACATAAATCACACACTTATTAATGATTCCTACTTCTTCCTCGTGATGAAGAGTAGGCAAAATCTGATATGTGATGGGGGAAAAAAGAGAAATGAGTTCATCAGACGCTGGATTCGAACCGGGTTTATGAATGATAGTGTCAAAACATGTTGCCATGTGCTTTACGAGCTACACCTCTGTCGATCAAACGGGCAGACGTCACTCAACTAGCTCAATCCAACAAGGTGTGTTTGCACTTAGCCTAAATAGACACTACAAAATTTTGCACCTTAACATCAGACCATGTCTTTTTTTAATTCACTAAAAGTGCGATGTTTAGACCCAATGTGTTAACCGCGTCAGCTAAACTCTCCAACACTATTTTATTTCTTTCTTTTGTTATTAATTCCGGAGGACAAACTTGCAACGTTTTTCTCCGGTACACCTTCGATAGGAGCACCTCCATTTCACATTCTGTTCAAAGTTTCTCTTTTTGCTTGCTTTTGCCATTGCTTTTTATTTGGCTTTCCCAAAGTAGAGTCATTACCATATTTATTAGGGAGAGGAGGCAGGGAGGGGTTTTGCACTCGTGCACGTGCGCTCAGTTTCACCTTAATTCGGATGTACAAAGAGAATATGCGTGGGATTCCGTGTACGCAGCGTTTCATACATCTGAATTTTATTACTGCGTACGCACATTTACAGCTTTGTGTGTACGCAATGTTTTAGTATGATTTCAGAGCAAGTATTCGTACATAAGGTCCCAGGTCACTTGGTGCGCGACCCGCCGTCTTACCTCAACTCTCGCTCTTCTCCACACTGTCCCATGATGACAATCACGCATAGGCATTTTTAGGCATTAAAATAAATATTATTTAATACCTGCATTGTTTTTAATGACGGATTATGGTATTGAAACTGATAGCATTGCTATGCTACGGTATACCATATTACCGCCCAAGCCTAACCATAACCTTCCTTGCCACTCAAATGACTCTTCTTTACTTCTAGTCACAAGGAATATTTATAGGGTAGAGCTATCAGGATGTTTCTGCCCTGCTTTAGTCCATTCACCAATCATGTCGTTAGCATTTTGAATTGATTTCCGAAGGACAAAATCATGCACCACAATACATTTTTATTCCTTTTAGCACCGTTTCAGTCAGATGAACATCACAATATGGGAAAAAGAGGCAATCATAATTAATGCTTCATGGCAACTTAAGCATGAAAGCATAAATTATACCATGACATTATAATTATGAGCCTAATACACTGCATTCACACTAATGCACATCCTTATTTAAACAACAATTCTGAGAAATCGAGGAAAACTCATCCCTGTTATAATATTCAAGTGCAATTATGACAACAGCAGTCAAAGAAAGAAAGAGGCATCAACATTAGTTCTCACTGTGAGCATTTTAGGTTGTGTTTACCTTAGTATTAAGATGCAGTTTGATCTATTGGATTGCAAGTAGACAAGCAAAAGAGGCCTTTATTTATAAGACCACTTCATATAACACGTATTTTAAAACATATTTTAACTCGCGGTGCAGGTTTTGTGCTCCTTTCAAGCAGATTTGATGCATGGAGTACACATGGTGTACTTCATTTGTGCTGTTTTGGTTATTTGTATCTCTACGCAATTATAGATTATATACAGTATGCAGTGTTTTATTTGATTACATTGGTTTATGTAACTGAAAACTACGGTTAAATAGCTGAAAAGACTGAAAAGTACTCTTTACTCTAGTCATCTCTTTGCTATATTGCTACATGTAAAGTTTTTCCTTTATTTTTATGGGTATCCTGTTTTTTACTGAACATATTATATACCAAAACGTGACCCTAAAACTGAAGACTGAACCGTAACAATTCTGTATTATTGTACTCCTAATAATAACCAGAAAAGCTCCTCTGTATGCTTACCTCTGGCAAACTCTGAACTTTGCAGAATTTGACCCCATTCCGTAATCTGAAACAGCCAAAGAGTCGATATTAGCCCTTTATTTCTCCAAACATCACCTTCTAGAAGGTTAATAACAAGTTTGTACGTACTTCTTGCATTTTTCACAGCTGTACATGTTGTCTCCTGTTAAAGAATAAAAAAAATCCATGTAAGAATTGTATAACTAATATGCTTATTGTCAATGAGCAGAAAACTACTACTACTATTTTTTATTTATTTATTTTTTAAATCGGACTCAAAACAAATCTGACCTTTTAGTTCATCCCTGGCAAAAAAGGCTGCCAGACAATCCTGCAGTGTCACCACAGGGCCCCAGAACCAGCTAAAAATCAATGAACAAAAATAGAGAGAACAGAAAAATGTTTTATTTGAAAGTAACATTATTTGTAAATCTTGTTTTTTTTAGTCCACAGCAAAAGATTCTTACTTTTGTCTTCTTTCTAGTCCAAATATCAAAAAGTCTTAAATCAAAAAGCATTTAAGACAAGCAAAAAAAAAAAAAGTTTTGTTTTCGGAAATTATAAGTCAAAATTAAGTGAGTTTTTCCCTAAAACAAGGAAATAATTTGCCATTGGGGTAAAACACAATCTTATTTCAAAGCGAAAACGAGACTATTTTCTAACCCCATTGCCAGATTACTTTGCTTGTTTTAAGGAAAAACTCATTCACTTTATTTGTGATTTATTAATTTAAAAGAAGAATGCTTCTTTGCTTACTGAAGTATGTCAAAAAAGCAATTTTATAATAAAAGGATAACATTTAATGTTAAAAGTAACAAAATAAAAAGATAATAAAAAATTATTAATTGATAATAAAATGATTACTGTGTCATATCCATCCCCTTTTTTGCACGCTGCAGTTGTTTACCTGGAAATCAGTGAAATTACCTCAATTGCAGCATGGGATGTGCATTTGTTTGTTTAAATATTTTTAATAATTTGTGTTTTTAAAAGCACATAAGAGACCTTGTGTTGTTCTGTGCTGATGTTCTGTGTTAATTGATATACACTCACCAGCCACCTTATTAGGTATAGCTGCTCGTTAAAGCAAATTTCTAATCAGCCAATCACATGGCATGAACTCAATATATTTAGGCATGTAAACATGGTCAAAACGATCTGCTGCAGTTCAAACTGAACATCAGAATGAGGAAGTAAGGTGATTTAAGTGACTTTGAACGTGGAATGGTTGTTGTATGTCGCACGAGATTTTGGAAGGGCACTTTCTATCCAAGACTAAAAAGGGCATGTGCACTGCACAGGTTGAGCCCTATGTGTGCACGTGCCTGTTATTGACCATGTCCATCCCTTTATGACCACAGTGTAGCCATCTTCTGATGGCTTCTTTAAAACGCGATATGTCGTAAACTGCGAATCATGTCAGACTGGTTTCTTGAGCTTGACAATGAGTTCACTGTACTCAAACGGCCTTCACAGTCACCAGATCTCAATCCAATAGAGCACCTTTGGGATGTGGTGAAACAGGAGAATCGCATCATGAATGTGCAGCCGACAAATCTGCAGCAACTGTGTGATGCTATCATGTCAATATGGACCAAAACCTCTGAGGAATATTTCCAGTACCTTGTTAAATCTATGCCACGAAGGATTAAGGCAGTTCTGAAGCCAAAGGGGGTCCAACCCGTTACTAGTAAGGTGTACCTAATAAACTGGCCGTCGAGGGTATATTGTAATAGATACATATAAAAAAAAATCTCAAAAAAAGTTTTGATCCTACACTGAAAAAAATTTTTTTTGCTGCTTGTTCAAACTACTTAAACAATTTTTTTGTTCAATTTACCCATATTTTAATTTAATTTAATAAATTTGTTTTATGACAGCATCAAAAAAAGTTTTTTTTTTTTACAGTGAATAGCCCAATGATAACCCACTAATTATTTAAAATAACTGTGATTACATCATTGACCAAAATAATCATGACAATAATGTTTTCCATAATTGAGCAGCCACAGTATACTGTAAAAAGTACTGTTCTTGAAGTATTAAATGCAAAAGTCTTCCGCATAAAAGAACAGTGAGTTTAATACCTCTTGATATATTCCATGACAAAAGCAATCCAGCCTTGAGGGGCGTATGCTTCACCACAAGAGCCAGCCTTGACCAGAGCCGTCTGGTGGGAGGACGAGTGCAGCTTGGCAAGGTCCTCTTTCCCTGGGATGGGCAGAGAGATGTCCTGGAAGTTCTCCAAAGTCACCGAAACCTGAGACAGGAAGGACAAGCAGCAGGCAAGCCTAATTTAAAACCCTTATAGGTAATCGCATCTACTGGGCAATAACAAAGCCATTAAAGCAATTGTGATGAAAATATCTTTCCTGTAACAACTTTCGTCAGAATGCCAAGCTGTGTCCAGTTAATTTTTCATATGTAACCTGTGTTGATTACATATTTGAAAAATTAGCTAGATTCAAAACATAATTATTGTAGGACAACTTAATAAAGAAATAGTTCACCCAAAAATGATAATTCTGTTAGTAATTGCTCACTCTTACGCCAGTCAAATCCCTAATATTGATGATATTGGAAAAACTGAAAATGCCTCATATTGGAAAAACTGACATTGCAAAGTTTTGTTTTTCTGCGGTATAATATATATATATTTTTTAATATTTCCCAAATGATGTTTGACAGAGCAAGGAAAACTTCACAGTATGTCTGATATTATTTTTTCTTCTAGAAAAAATATAATTTGTTTTATTTTGGCTAGAATAAAAGCAGTTTTCAATTTTTTAAAAGCTATTTTTGGAACAAAATTATTAGCCCCTTTAAGCTAATTTTCTTTTCGATAATTTACAGAACAAACCATCATTATAGAATAACTTGCCTAATTACCCCAACCTGCCTAGTTCACCTTATTAAGCTAGTTAAGCCTTTAAATGTCACTTTAAGCTGTATAGAAGTGTCTTGAAAAATATCAAGTCAAATATTATTTACTGTCATCATGTCAAAGATAAAATAAATCAGTTATTAGAAATAATTTTTTTAAATATTATGCTTAGAAATGTGCTGAAACAATCTTCCCTCCATTAAACTGAAATTGGGGAAAAAATAAACAGGGGCGCAAATAGTTCAGGGGGGCTAATAATTCTGACTTTAACTGTATATAGCTATTTGAATATAAGATGGCTTCAGTAATTCTTTTTTTTTAGGGCAGTGCATAAAATATACAAAATTATTTAAGAAAATACCAAACAAACTAAGGCACAGATGAAAACAATAGAAAAAATATATACATTTGAAATAAACAGCGCTTCAAAGTTTTAGTCTAATAGCATTGTTCACATGTTCATGGTTAATAAACGCAATAATCAAATATAAATTAAGAATGTATAATCTTCATTTTCAATTCTTTAATTTGCTTGAAATCTTACAGTCACAGGGCCTAAAGGTGCCCTATAATGATTATCTGGGTACACCGAGGCATAGTAGAATATATGGTATATGGAAATGGAAATGAAAATACTGTGAGCCTCATGTAATTTACGCTACATTAATTCTTTCATGGCGGGGCGCCACACCAAAATTCATCCCACCACGGCAATGGCTACATTTACAGCTTCTCATTCAAAACATTTAGTTGTTGTTGATGTTTTATTGCAGGTTATAATTCCACCAAAACCAATTACAAGGTGAGTGAATTATAACAGTGCAAAACTTTCACTAATCGTAGTAGTGCTGTGCATTATTTGTTTAACCCTTTAAGGTGACATGCTGACTGACTTACTGACTGACGGGTGCCTGATGTGTGAGGCCAGCAAACACGGCGTAGCTTTAGTTATGACGAGAACAGTTTCCATAATTATACTTTTTTTTAAATAAAGGTCTATGGTAGGTCTTATGGAGACATTCATAAATATTCCTTGCAAATCTAATAAATTTTCGAGGTCTGCTGCCACAGCTGGAAAAAATCCTGGAGGAAACACTGCCAATGTTTCCTTGTTTTCATGTAAATTCCACGAGTGTAAAACCCTGGTGGACAATTGTCCAATCAAGTGACAAAACACACTCACGGTCACGGGCCATGCCCTCCACATTTGCATGTATGCCTACTTTAGGTCATTCATCCGGACCTGACGAACAGCGACATCATCAAGAGAACACGACTCATATGCAGCTCTGAGATCATAAAAAAGGCTCTCAAATCATTAATATGCATGCCTCAGGCTGTGTTTGACAAACCAAAAGTTTTCTAGTGATAATTTTCCTCCTTTAGTTTATTTAAGCGTATATTTCACTTACTATGTATGTGGAACTTTTATTTTTAAAAACGCAAGCCCCAAATTGTTTACTGTTTTAGAGTCGCCTCAGGAGGCAAAATGCAAGATTTCCAGATTACACATTTATTCATCTCTACTCTGAAGAGGCATGAGGTATGTTTAGTTGCATCTTTTGTGAATTTATCGTTTTTAATGTGTAGGTTGATATTAATTCCTTTCTGTGTTTTCTTTGACTGTAGCTTCAAAATACAACGTGATAAATCCCTATCACTCATTTTTGTCAAGTTTAAAGAGCCTTTATCCACAATAGATCTGGTGAGCAAATAAAATTCCGTGTTCAACATGCATCACGCTCTGTGCTCTGTGTTTGTCTGTAAAAGCGGCACGTCAGAGCGGAGCTCATTAATATTCACAATATGAACCGTATATGGTCAATCAAGGCCCTCCTGATTGTAGGGGTATTTTATGGAGTAATAAATGAGCTTATAAAGAGATTTCTGGAGATTGTTTTTAACTTACCTAAGCCATAAACCTACTAAGTAGATATCAGAGAACAATTTAACTTATAAAACCCATGCAGTATAGGGCACCTTTAAAAAGACACTAAAAGGAAAGTCTTTCACATTATTAGAACATATTAGATCAGGTTAAGATTTATTAGTCCCAACATGACACTGCAGATCCTGTGATGTGACATATTTGAACATTGCGATATTGATTCTGAAATAATATATTGTGCAGCCCTAAATTTGGATATTTCAGATGGAATCCGAGAGCTCTCTGCCCCCTGAAGACAAAAACAGTCTAAAAAGTGTAAAAAAGGAACCAAAAACATTCCAAAACAAACAATCAAAACATTCCATGTGTCTTCAGTGGTTCAACTCTATTCATACAAAGCTCCAAGAACACTTTTGTGTGGCATTTGTTTGCCATTGTTTTGTTTCGAGTGTGTTTACAAGGTGGGTGTGATTTTGCAAAGTACAATGCCATCCTGGATTAACATCTATGCTGATCCTGGATGTCACTTTTGTTCGAAAATGTAATCCATACCCAATTCCTACCTCTAAACCCAACCCTAATTGTAAATTGTTCCCAAAATCAGAAGGAAATAATAGTTGTATAATAATCGTGTAAAAGTGCATAACCCTAACGGTAAGCTTAAACTTAACATAAACTGTAAACTTATTCCTAAATTCTGATTGGCTGATTGAAATGTTGTTTACAATGACAATAGCCCCTTTCACACATACAGACCTTTCCGGAAAATTGCCGGCAATTTTCCGGAAAGCTTGTATGTGTGAACAGGTCCTTTTTGAAAATACTGCGAAAGTTGTTCACAATATTGATCATCCACAGAGTTTGTAATTTAGTCAAATGTTTACAAACACAAGCGCAGCCGTTTAAAGCTCATTTGTGGTGAATGATGTCAGAATTTACCGGTATTTTGGAATGGATGTGTGAATGCTCTTTTCCGGAAAAATTCCGTAACGTCCTCGCCTGTGTGAACAGCGCTTTTTTGAATATACCGGTAAAGTCGTTCCAGAAATTTTCCAGATATTTACCGGTATCACTGTGTGAAAGGGGCTAATATGACATAGTTTTGCATGATTACAGTTGATTCACATGGCCACATGGAATGTTTCTTGTTCCTTTACTAGACTTTAAATGTCATAATTGCTGTCCGAGAGTTCATCTAAAATCTTGATTTGTGTTCTGAAGATGAACGAAGGTCTCAGGGGATTGGATCAACGTGAATAATTAAGAACAGAATTTTCATTTTCGGGTAAACTAACTTTTTAAGTGTGTTCATTTTGTCTATCGAAGCAAAATGATTTGGTGTATGCTTGAGTGAAGAACCCTTAGATCACTCACCCTATCACAGGTTAGGCACTGAACTGAGCTGACAATTGTGCCATCAAACACTTCAGAAATGATGCTGTGGTATTTCCTCTGCCGCTTGGTCTTTGTTGGGGTGAACATGGGTACTGCCAACACAACACATCAAAAACCATTAAGGAACATGGATTAAAATTCAAATCATCCATTTCATTAAACCGATAAATAACCAAAAGTCATTCTGTACCTTTCTTGTGAGTAGAGCTCAGGTTTGGCCATGCTGAGGATTTTGGGGGGCTGCTGGACAGTCTAGATGTGATGCCCTCATTTCCAGTGGGACTCTGCGGTCTGACAGTACTGCTGACCTGGATTTCAGAATCTAAACAAAGAAACACAGACGTTGATCAATAAAAGCAAAATAACCACAGTTTAGTCCACTTACACTTCAAGCTAAATTGACAATTGAACGCATTTGATGTCTTTTTGTTGGCCATTACAAATGTTGGGCAATCTACTTGAAAAATGTAGTGAGCTAGGCTATTAGCGACTCAAAATGTAGCTTAACTACAATAAAAGCTACCCCCTGGGAAATGTAGCAAGCTAAGCTAAAAGCTACATGGCAAAAGTAGCTTAGCTACATCTAAGCTATTTTTACAGTTTTCATTTTTAAATCGAAGCAACTTAAATCCAAGTCAATCATATCTTAGCGATCAATAAAACTGTAACTGAAGCTTATTTTAATTTTTATAAAAACAAAAAACACTGTGTATGTATGTTTATACAATATAAAAAATAATAATATATAAAAAAAAAAAACACAAACACAGATGACTTCAAATCTCCTAAATTCTTTACTTCAGTTATTCTTTACAACTGCAGAGTATTTGGGCTTTTTCTTCAGTAAATGAACCTGACAGGACTACAGGAGATGGCATAACAGCTGCTGCTGCTTTGAATTAGACTGACTTCATTTATTGATCTACTGTATATCCATTAAAATAAATAAACTAATTCTAACCCTAAATGTAAAATACAGTAAAAACCCTTGAAATGTGTTGAAACACATCGAAGGGGGTTTGGTTACCAGCTGGACAGGAACAGTGAACAGCTGTTCACTTCTGAAACACCAGAGTCTCAATAGATCCTCCAGTACGCATGCACGTTATAAAACGCTCTCAAAATGTTATTTTGGACAACTATGCGGATATTTTCAAGTGTTTACACAAACAGAATTAGCATAGTTTGTGAATCAACAGACATGTGCGACTCTGATACAGCTGCAGACTGGTTGAGCTGGTTATTACTCTAATTATTGTTACCTTAACATTTGCGTGACTGTTTGCTTAATATAACTAAGAACGTAGTCCTAGCTGACGCGCAGCAGTTGGACAATTAAGCCACAATTATGTCTGTAATTAACAGTAAGGCTGTTTGAGTCTGAATTAGCCGGTTTAAATAATAGAAAACTTAAAATTACTACTATAATTTTAATATGACAAAATGAATTCAAATAATTAGTATAATATTTGAATTAGTTTTAGGCTCTCTGCGGCCCACATGCAGAATCGCTGTGGCCCACTGGTTGAGAATCTCTGGTTTAAAGCACATGATCTGCAGGTGCACTTGGGGTGTGTCCGAATCCACTATTGCTATTTTAAGTTTTGGAAAACATTCAGTGTGCCTGGCTTATGGTCTAAAAGGGTTGTGCTTATTCTCTTAATGAGTTTTTGGTGTGTTTTTTTGGTGTAATAAGACTATAATAATCAGTTACGGCGACCCGGTGACGCAGTGGGTAGCACTGTCACCGGGTAGCACTGTCTTACAGCAAGAAGGTTGCTGGATCGAGCATCGACTGGGTCAGTTGGCATTTCTGGGTGGATTTCTGGGTGCTCCGGTTTCCCCCACAGTCTAAAGACATGCGCTATAGGTGAATTGAATTAACTAAACTGGCCGTAGTGTATGAGTGTGTGTGTGGATGCAAGAGTGTCTGGGTGTTTCCCAATAGTGGTTGCCGATGAAAGGCCATCTGCTGATTAAAACATATGCTGGATAAGTTGGCGGTTCATTCCGCTGTGGCAACCCCTGATGAATAAAGAGACTAAGTCGAAAAGAAAATGAATGAATAATCTGTAATTAGTTTAGTTTTCATATTTCAATTTTTTCATATTTAAAGATGTTTGTGTACAGCTGTGCATCCCTTTGTGTGTAGTAAGTAGGGTTGGGTACCGAAACAACATGAAAATGTGCTTTGGCCCGATCAGGCCTCAGAAGTGATTATGCAAAAGCTACTAGGCCTGGCTTGCGCTGGCTCACTCGCTTTAAGCGCGACAGTGGAAACGCGGCTATTGTCTTTTGACCAGCTTTTAGTTGGTCAATGGCATGGTCTATTTCAGTTGCCTCAAAATAGCAACATATCAACAATGTGCCTCAACACAGCTCCTTTTCAGACCAGCATATCCATGGGTACATTTGCTATTAAATCGCAAAACAGGAATAGTATACCTGCACTGGGCTGAAACTATCATAAAACATATGCGTCATGCTTGGCGACACATTGCCCAAGGTGTATGATGTGTGCACCATTCATAAAAGAGCAGAACAGTGGTAACCTGCGAAAATGTTTTAGACTGTTCATAAGAAATATAGCAATATACTACCAAACTTTGCAGGAAGATTGAGGTCTTTAAATCTGTCAGTTTAACAAATTACCATTATACATGGCACAAAATGAGCAGCCCTATATTCACCTGAAGTTCGCCCCTGAGCTTTGATTGCTCCTTGGCTGCTGATGATTGGCCTTGAATCACTAGTCGTGTCCACGTCTTTATCCAGGTCGCCATGGGAACCGGCACGGTACAGGTTGTTGATGAGATTCTTCTCTTTCTGCCAATCTCGGTTGTTTTGATTCTGTTCAGGCATCAGCATCTCAGCTTCGTTGATGTCTTCTGGGACTCTGGGGCCTTCGTTATCAGCACGATCACTGCTGCCGCAAGACTCGCAGGACTGGAAGTCATCTGATTGGCTGTGGTTGTCCTCGTCGGGACTGTCGTCCATGGCCACAGCCTGATTTGGGTCCTCGGGTTCAGGAATGAGCTCCTTGAGCTCCTCGTGGAGTTGGTCCATCAAACAACGCAGGAATTCCTGAGAGTCCTTAAAGTGACGACAGATTTTAATTAATTTGGAAAATACAATCAAAAAAATACTGTGTTAAGACGGTTTATGCCTTAAAAAATAATAAATGACAACCATATTTGGAAATCAATCTAATTCTATAAGTTCTTTAAAAACATATTTTAAAGGGCACCTATTTTAACCCTATTTTAGAGAAGTCTTTTGTGTCTCCAGAATGTGTCTGTAAAGTTTCAGCTCAAAACATCTATCAGAATATTTATTATATCTTTCAGAATATTGGAAAATTCTGCTTTGAACGCGCTGTAGCCGTTTTTGTTGCCTGTGCCTTTAATGCTAGTTCTCAGAGCCCACTGTTCCCAGGTGCCTGTCAGAGTGTGCCTCAATCTCTGCTTCAGCTGCATCAGATAAACAGCACAGTGACAGACATGAAGGAAGCAGATCTCACGTAATGTTTGTGAGAAATACTATAGTAAGAGCTTTCCCAATGATTATTTGATGTTTTTGTTGTGGAGTTAATTCAAGTGTGACCAGATACACGTTAATATCTACTGCTGTATGGATAACCGTTATGTTAACGTACAAAATAAATGCGATTTAACGTCCACAAACTGGGAATGAAGCGTCCTCTTTTATAATTGTACTGACATGCGGCTAGGGTGATGAATTACAGCGATTTTTATCGTCTTTATCACAAAAAGGCAGTCTTAAAAACGTTTTAAACTTGTAAAATTCATTCTTGATCACATTTGATGATGATTAATGATCACAGAGCGCTGAACAGATCTTTTAATCCCGATTGCTTTGCGCACGTCCTGTCTTGTTGATATGATTATATGCGTTACAACAGAGACATGTTAATATCTTCTTCGGTGGGCGGGGAAAGTGGGACTCAGATTGTACAAGAAGCACTGTATTAAATGACATTTTTTCCCCGCCATGTCTTTAAAACATTTATTTTATCCTAGTCTAATTAATGGAGCTTCTGCACTAGCCTGCCAATTCTGACAGGCGCATGCGAGTACACGGCTTTTTGTCTTATTTTACGCCTGAGCAACTAAATGCCAAAATCTATTTAACTGATTGTATTTTAATTACATTACAACATTGATGCTATAAAAGGAACCGCATAAAATGCAACCATATACTAGAAGTTTATCAGTATGGGAAGAAACACTAGCTCCACATATACCCTATTAATGTTTACTATTTGCATCTCCATAAAATCTAATCAACTTTTTGGGGTCCTCGACACATTTTCGATGTGGTTTGTGCTATTTGCAGTGCATTTCTGTATTTGCACGTGTTGTATTTCCATGCATTACTCTCCATAAATACAATCAAGAAAATGATACAATTGAAAAAAAGTGTTATCAAAAAAGTGTTCCTAAGTCTAACAGTATTCAAGTATAGTAACTGAAAGATAAAAAAATCAAAGTAATCGAATAAAATACAAATCGCAGGCATCAAAAACATGATAAATAAAACTATAATACCAATTAATTCATTCATTCCATATCATGCGATGTGGCAATTGTGAAGTTGCAATATCGATGCTGAAATTATATAGTGTGCAGCCCTAACAGGGAACATAATCAACTGCTAAAAAGTGCAGTTAAATGTGGTCTAGTTGAAATTGTGATTTGCAAAAGCATCAATCCAGGGGATAAATACCCTGCAACGTTCCAGTGAGTGTGACATTTTTCTTCCAGATGCCTTCCGGACCACTCTCTTACCACCTACCCCCACTGTCTGAGTGGCGACCTGCTGTGTACAAAGCACAGCCTCTTCATTCACACAACATAACCAGCCTGCAACCACAGGGACGCTGCAGTTTACAGAAGACACAGTTCTCTCCCTCTCATGATAAAAGCAGCTACCTGCTCAGAGCAGTGGTCTGCCAAATATAGAAGATGCTGCTCTCTCATACACCCAAAGCACCTGTCCCAGAACTTTATTATTTTTTTTTTAGCATTTTTTAAATAAAAATACAATACTAAACGTGTTAAGCCATGGCCAGATCACACGAATTTGTCACAATTTCGGCATGATTTTCTTGACACAGGGTATCGTGGAGATTCGTAAATGACAAATGGGCGCCATGACACAAGATTCAATTGTTTCTTCTCGTGTAATGTGACATAGTTCATGACAACTGATACTATGCCTGCGACGCCTCACGACACCAATTGCAGAAAGTCTAGCATGTTTATTTTTTCCCAGTTTTTCATGACGATTTCCATCACATGGGTGATAGTGGACTATAGGAGCACATAATATCTCGGTTATATCATAGGCTGCGGCAGTTAATGCGCTGGTCAGGCAATGAAAAAATAGGCTGCATATTTACTTATGGGTGTGTCTCGAGTGGATAAATCAATCCAATAATAGGTTATGCAAACTTTAACTACCTTTTCTAAAATTTGAAGGTGTTTTAAGCAATTCTATCTGATAGACTGGCACAAATATGCAAACATCTCCATTCTAACAATGAGTTTCTGAGTTCTCTCATCCTTCCAACAGAGTTTGTTCTTCCGAGGTAATCTGGGAACATTTTCAGTGCCGAGAATACTAGAGCTGTGAACCTACAATGGTCTCACGGCTCAATGGTCTAATAATGCTGTCAATGACAAATGACAAGCACTTGTCTTAAATATAATAATTCAATTTTATAATTATGAATAGTTGTATTCTGATGTCATAATTTTACTGTGAATTAACAAACAGGACATATCAAAAGTCTGTTCAAGTCCACTATAATAACTGTACAAAATTTAGCATTTTAAGCAACAGTAGACCTACACACAGGCCTAATATTATTATTGTTGTTTTACCATATCGTCACTTTAGAATTATAAGGTTTTATCTGACATTTTTGTCAAAATTGAGTTATTGACATTCTTATTAAATGACGACTTATTGTTAACATTTTAAGATTTAAAAAAAATGTTGCATACTGTTTGCTATATGGATAGCAAAAACATTGAAGCTCAATATCTCAAAATCATTCAGAACACAGATAGAATCTTATAATTCCAAGGTGACGATGTGTTTGAAAATGAACAATAATAATAGCCTACTCATATTAACCTTTATTTTACATCTAAAAACAAAGCTTTCTTGCAGTATATCCAACCATTTACATGGTGCTTCAGACAATAAAATCAGCCAAAATATTATTAATACTGCCTTTTTTAAAGGGCCATGAAACCCCCCAGTTTCAGCAGGGTGTTTTCACACCTCTAGTTTGGAAAAAGTCAGGAAAGTGGGTGTGTCTAGATCTGTTTAGATGGGAGTGTAGGGGGAGGGAAAGAGGGAAGGATTTGGATAAAAATGGGAGTTTCTATTTGGGCATGCGCTGATTTTCACCGAGGAAAAACAAACACACAGACGCAGGAGAGAAAGACAGTGACTATGTTTAATGACAGTAGGGACTGTGGAATGTTTGATACCGCAAGTCGTATGAGAGAAAAAAGCCTCCGCATTTCTGTAACTTAGATGCACTGGGTAGGTAGCATCACAAAGTGTGTATAAACTCAACACGCCGCATATACAGTGGATCTTTCAGCCCATAATATTGTAGTGATATTAACGTATTGTAAACTTAGTAACTAAATCATTTTGACTAAGGTCTGTCTTTAAAAGCTGAAAGAGTACTGCTGACGATACAAACTAACTTTGGCATCTGAATGCACAAACAAAGACCACTGATCGCTCACTTATCAGATCTGTAAAAACAGAACAATCAACACCAACTGGAGCTGCATCTTTTTTTAAAGGAGATGAGCAGAAAATCCGGATTTCACCATTTCCAGATTAGAAAAGCTCTCGGGTAAAAAAAATTTTCCTTATAAATGTATTTCTGCCACGTGTCGCTTGCACTGTAATCCACACGCGAGTCAGCTGCTCTCTCATAGCGAGAAAATGAAAACAAAACGTTCGTTGCAACACATTTAAAATGTACTGAAGACCAGTGTCTCCAAAGTGTTTTTGGTTTTTCTCCACTTGTTTTGGCAACACAACGTAGCGTCTCTCTGCCGTCTGAACACTGTACAGGTAAAAACAGCCTTCGAAGCTATCATGCAAAATAATGAAGTTGCACCACATACACAATAAAGCGCGCTGATTGGTTTGAACCAAGTCTTTTTCATGAATTAGTGCTGCACATTTAAGAGACGTCATGAAGTCCTCCCAGCAACAGACATCCAGTCTACATGCTGGATTACATGCAAGGATCTAATCGGCTTCAAACCGGAAGAACGACTTTGCTCAAAATAACGCAAAAAAAAAACAATTTTCACTTTTTGTGAAATATATGTGTCCTCATAGTGTTTTTAGCAGTGTGGGAGTGTGTTTTTGGTGTTTCGTGACCCTTTAACAAATCAGTTTGACACAACATACCTGTTGGGAGTAACCACGAAACATTGGGTTCACAGCCTTAATGCCCTGGAATAGATTTGTGGGAACAACATAGGCGTTCCTGCAAACACACAAAACAAAAAAACGTGTTTGTTTTTTAAAACAAAAATGGAAAAATGAGACTGAAAAAGAAAATGGCCATACCTGTTTTTGTGCCACAGGTCTGTGATGAGTTTCTGATAGCTCTTGCATAGCGCTGGCTTCTTGTCTGTCTTCACCAGACCACCGCACTCCAAAAAGAACTGGGTCAGCGGAGGACTAGAAGATAATCCAAGAAGACAGAAGAAGATAAAACGAGATTAAACCCATAATTGAGGAAAACAATTAGAATATTGAGCAATTACTGGGTTTCTTACCAATTGGAGAGTGCCTGCAAAGCTGCATTCATGTAGCACGTATTGCCAATGTTCTTCAGTCCAGTCAGACCTGTAAGAGGAACAGATAATGATGTTTAGATTTACAGTATACAATGTGGAGCAACTGCACAGAACTCTAGACATCAGGGACGAAGAACCTCTAGTCCTCAGTTCATCTTCTTCCTCTGTCTCCATGTCCAGGTCATCACATGTTCCTGCTGAAGGAACTCTTAGGGAAGTAGGACTCCCAGGAGTATTGAGGTCCTGAAAGACCAGAAAGACAGGGATAGATAATCAGCAACCAGTGGTGTAAAGTAACAAATTAAAAATACTCAACTTTGGTTGACATCAAAACTCAATGTCAGGCAAACGTTAATGTCCAATGACAAACCTAAAAGCAACCAAATATCAACCTCTAATGACGTTACAGCTTGACGTTGTGATGTTGACGCTACCACAATGACGTCTATCAGACGTTAAATTTTGGTTGCCACACCTGACGAATTAAATGTCATTATTTGACGTCAACATGCCGTTGATTTAAGACGCTGACTAGACAATATATTTTGGTTACCTGACATCACAACCTAAATCGCACCTAAGATTAACGTTTTATGTTACAAATGTTACGTTTACACACATCCACAAATGACAAGTAAATGCAACAGCTTTTCACACAGTAAAGCCCCCTTTCCACTGCACATGAGATTTTGACACGACTGTCGGATTACGCCCCCTTGTGGCAGTCGTGCAGAATTTTGAGTTCTGACGTGCACCATGGGAGAGAAGCTGTTCTCGCAGTGTCCGAAATAAAAAAAAGAGCCTATATTCTCTGTGCGTTTATCATGGATGAATAAATGAATGAATACTAGAAACTCATAGACCTCTAAAAATATTGAAGGGAATGTGGAGACAAAACAAAAATATATATTTTATTACTTACATTCATGAATAGAAATGTTTTTTTTTTCTGATTTAAAAAAAAAAACCCAAATAAACTACTATTTCTCATCTTGCGCACATGGACCTGCTTGGACAAAACTGGAATACATCACATCCGGTCGGCCTTTCGCATACGGTCTAGACGCAGGAGTTAAAATATCTCAACGGATCCGCAGCTCAAATCGGATCTGAATTTTCCCGCATACGGAGATGATCGGAGATGAACTCCACGCAGCTCCCGCACTACTCTCCATTGGAAATGATTGACTTCCGGTCTGTCGCTTGTCATTTGTCATGTGCAGTGGAAAGGAGGCTTGATACTCACTAATCTTAAGCACTTTTGAAAGGTCTACTTTTTACTCATACTTTGAGAAATATTTTCAGCAGATACTTTTACTCTATTTGCACTACATTTTAGACAAGTAATGGTACTTTTACTCGAGTATAACTTGACACTACTCTTTCCACCATTGTCAGCAACTAAATCCAGCGCAAAATAAAAAGCTTTTCTTACTTTTTGTCTTGTTTTTAGTCCAAATATCTGAACATTCTTAAATAAGGAAACATTCCTCTAGTGTAAACAGAGAATATATTGGTTTGTTTTCAGCAATAAGTTCAAATTAATTGACTCTTCCTGTAAAACGAGCAAAAAAATCTGCCAATGTAAGACTAAATTATTTCACTTACCCCATTAATGGCAGATCATTTAGGTTATCTTAAGAAAAAAACACACTTTATTTTGAAAAATTATTTCTGAAAACAAAAAAATACACTACAGTCAAACATTTGGGGTCAGTTTTTTTTTTTATAATTATTAAATTTATTTACTAATTTAAATAAAATTATTACATTCATCAAGGCACCATTTATTAAATGTAAAAATATATTGTTAAATACTTATTTATTCAATATTTATTTATTACTTATTTTATGTAGTTTCAAATTAAATGATCACTCCAGTTATTAATGCTTTTATTTCTATTACTATTAATAATAATATAATAATAATAAAAATAATAACAATAGTAATTATTATTAAAGGTATTTCTGAAGGATCATGTGACTGAAAACTGGAGTAATGAAAATTCATCATTAAATCTACTGGATTAAATGATTAAATGAAATTATAAACTACTTTTGAACAGTTATTTCATAGTGCGATACCATTTCACAATTTTTACTGTATTTTTTAATTAAATAAATGCAGCCTTGGTGAGCAGGAGAAGCTTATTTTAAAACATTTAAAAATCCTACTGACCCCAAACTTTTGACCGGTGAATTTTTTACTTCTCTAAAGAATTATCTTGGTTTTACAATTTTCAGATATTTAGACGAGAAACAAAACAAAAACTTGAAAAAAAAAACAATGCTGTTTTTTGTTGGTTTCCATTGAAAGTAACATAAGAGTTCTGACCTGGCAGGGAGTCTGCACTGGGGATACTGCTTTGGCAGCATTGGGCAACTGTTTATGTGGACCCAGTTTCCTTTCCAGGAAAACCTCCTTGGTGCAGGCATAACACCACACTCTCAAAGTGGTCAGATTGACCGTCAAGTTGTGCCGCGTCTCCTGAAACGAAATGGCAGTAGAGATTAGATTGACATTTCAATGCATATCTTTAAGTTTACAATGCAAAAATAAAAAAAATAAATGGAATACGTTTTTGGAATAGGGACATTTTACAATTCACCTAGAGTTAAAAAGGTGAGTTCAATCATTTTTTTAATCCATTCCAACAATTTCTGAGCCTGGTGGGACCACCTTTAGCTTAGCTTAGCATAAATCATAGAAATGGATTAGACCATTAGCATCTCATTCAAAAATAAATAAATAAATAAATAAATAAGAGTTTTGATCCTTTTCCTTTTCATATTCCGTCAGTCTTAGTACACAATGTACCAACAAAAGAGTTATATAGGAAAATTATAGTTTTTTTAATGAGTTGCTAATGGTCTAATCCAATTCAATGATCTATGCTAAGCTAAGCTAAAAGTGCTCCCACCAGACCCAGAGATCATGTGAATGGATTCAAAAATGATTAAAGTAACTCTAGGTGACCCATTTCCCAAAAAAAAAGTGGAGGGTTCCTTTCAAAATACCACATCTGAAAAAAAATACACTAAAAAAAGCAATGCTTAAAGCTCCAGAATGCACTGGCAGGAAAAAAGAGAGATTTTATCTTACTATTATTATGTCTGAACTGGAAGATATTAGAAACAACACCAGGGAAAATTCCAGAAAGCAGATGGGCAAGTTTACTTCAGAGATTTGCCTGTGCATGTGTGTGTGCATACTGCATGCACATAATCATCATACATGCACAAAAGCGGTCAATCTTCAAAATTTAGGGCAAAACAAAAGTGTGTCAGTGCAATTGGGAGGGGCGCTGCTGTGAGGCCTGGACACACACACACAGTTGTGGCCAAGGGGTCTCTACATTATTCATGTGTCTGGATTGGCTTTCACTGCAGCATAAGAACTGGTGCAACTGCGGCCAGACAGGGGCAGTTAAAACATTAATGAGAGCTGCGCCAAAATACAAACCCTGCCAACATCTGCCACTCCGACCATTTCAGTGATGAATAGGCTGTAATACACACTTCTATCCATTCGGACTCAAAGCATAAAAGAATAACATAATAGAAAACTAGTCTACATTAAGAGCTGTCATACAAACACACTGCAACTATGACTAGGGGAACGCACTCTATTGGAAAGTGCTATTAATAATATACGAAAATAATACAAGCATAGCTTTAATGGTCAGTGCATGATGAGAATATCTGACTATCAAAAAAGACAATATGGAATTACTGCAGGGCTGTGATGAGGATGGCATATTTTGTAGCCCAAAGCCCAGATAAGAGTTACTCAATTAGTCTTTTTGGGTTAGTTTAATGTCTGAAATGTGGTTTGCAGTTAAAACAAGCTCAAGATATATTCATGTTTTATCCATTGTGGCTTTGTGGAGCTGCATGTTTTATTTTATTAAATAAAATATGCCAGTAATACCAATTGTGACTGGATCAATCTACAGGAGTTGTTGGGGAAATTAAAAATCAAATGTCAATTAGGTTAAGTCATATACTCTGCTTTGACAACTAAATACAATCATGTTTACAATCAAACTCTTTATAAGTATTCTAGCTTACACTCACTGGTCCTTTTATTAGGTACACCTTACTAATACCCCTTTTGCCTTCAGAACTGCCTTAATCTTTTTTGGCATAGATTCAACAAGGTACTGGAAATATTACTCCGAGATTTTGGTCCATATTGCTGCAGATTTGCACATCCATTGTGTTTGTTACTGTTGCCTTTCTATCAGCTGGAACCAGTCTGGCCATTCTCCTCTAACCTCTGGTATCAACAAGGCATTTGCGCCCACAGAACTGCCGCTCACTGGATGTTTTCTCTTAATCTAACCATTTTCCGTATACCCTAGAGATGGTTGTGCGAGAAAATCCCAGTAGATCAGCAGTTTCTGAAATACTCAGACCAGCCCGTCTGGCACCAACAACCATACCACGATCAAAGTGACTTAAATCAGCTTTCTTCCCCATTCTGATGATCTATTTGAGCTGCAGCAGATCATCTTGACCATGACTAAATGCCTAAATGCATTGATTTGCTGCCTGTTGGTCTCAAAACGTATTTTCTGCAATAATCCAAAAAATGATGATAAAATTTTAATTCTGTAGAGATTACTAGGGAAGATTATTAAGAGAAAATTCATTTTGTAAGATTAATGGGGGAACACATTTAGTAGAAGAAGGAAAAAAAACAAGGCACAGGTAAATAATTTGTTTAAGTCATCAAATAACGGTTACAGTGGCAGAATAATGGCCAATTGCTTTGTCTTCTCTCTGTGGTTTTCACAGACACAGGGTGTTTCAAGCGGTTTTGGTAATGGGTAATAAGAGTTGGCTTTAGTAGGAAAAGAAGATCCCCACTGGAGCATTGGTTAATAATGAATGAGGATAAAAAGGGATTCACCAATACCACTTTTTACTGAATATGCCCCATACAGAAACATCCATGTTCACTTGGTACTCGCTGATAAAATTAAAAGTACCTGCAGTTTTGTTAGTCATCTTTTTTAAATGTTAGATAGCAAAACCAAAAGAATATTACATGCCTGGATTCATTTAGAAAATAAGTATGTCCTGTCATTTTCACACACAGCATAGCACTGTACGAGCTTGTTGCGTTCACTGTTCATTGTACTGCTCTGTCATCTTTCATTTTACATTTAATAGCACAGTGAATATTAGAGCTGTTCCATAGCAGCTGTACAATTATAAAACGATATTTACATTCTCTTTACACACTATCATTAATCAAATAAAGATGTTTTTAATTACACTTACAGTATCTGTTACATGGATTTTTATGTACGGAAGTGGCTTAAAAGGTTAGTTCACCCTAAAACAAAAATACTCCCCCACTCAAACTTAAACATACAAGGTCTTTACGTTTATCTTTGGAACAAAAATTAAGATATTTCAGATAAAATCCTGAAGCTCTCTGATCCTCCATAAAAAGCAAGGTTTCAAAGCTCAGAAAAATAGAAAGAACATCGCCAAATCAGTCCATGTGGCATTAGTGGTTTGATCTTCATTTTATGAAGCTATGAACAAAAATAATGACTTCATTCTGTGTCAAGACAAGAAACTAATGAATAAAGTCTTCCTTTTTGTTATTTGGCGCAATACATATTTCTCGTAGCTTTGTAAAAAGTGCAGTTGAATCTCTGATGACACGTGGACTGCTTTGATGATGTTCTTGGTATCTTTCTGGGCTTTGAACATTTCATAAACCTTGCTGTCTATGGAGGATGAGAGTGCTCTCATATTTCATCAAAAATATCTTGCTTTACGTTCTGAAGATAAGGCAAAATCTTGCTTGTTTGGAATGAAGTGGGTAAAGTCTGATTTATACTTCTGCTTCAAGCACACGCAAATGATACGGCGCAGCCTCCGCGTTCACGCATAGCCCTACACTATGGCCGTCACTGACGCGCACCTCTCAAAAAATGTAATTATACATCGAAACGATATGTAGCGCAAGCTTTGTGATTGGTCGGCTATGTAGCGCTGACGGGTCTGGGCGAGACCAAGAGCACTGCGAGCCTGATGGAGCAAATGTTTACAAGTGTGGAGTCCCATGAAGAAGCTCCGGATGAAGAGTTTTGTTTTGAGTTTACTGCATGATTAAAGTTGTTGCACGTCCACCAGTTCCTGCCTCAAAATGAGCGAGACACCAGCGAAGAAACTCAACACAGAGGAACATTAACACCTCACTGCCAACTAGCGTTTCGGAAGTGTTATTGCAAAACAGAAACAGCAAGCAGAAGTAAAAATGCACAGCTACGCGCGTTGCATGCACCGTGGGTCACACAGTTAACTTGACACAGAAGTATAAACCAGGCTTAAGGGTGCTTTCACACTTGGTCCGATTGCCTGGTTCGAACCAACCAAAAACTAGTTTGTTGTATGTTGTTTGGTATGATTGCGGTCAAACCAGAAATTAATTAACCGTACCAGAGTTGGAGCGAACTGTCCCCCAGACCAGCACCCAAGTTAAGGCAAGATCATTCACACAAGCTAAAGCCTGGTTTATACTTGACGCGTCCGCTAGTTCACTTGAGTGTGCGCGGCGACTGTGATGTCATCGTTTTGTTTGCGGAGGTTCGCTTTGGGTGTGTGCGACATGATTTTAGCTGGAGGAGCACACAGTTCGCGTGGCACCATGTTTCATTTGAGTTGAATATGAACCACTTTGAAGAGATTTTGTCTGAAATAGGAACGACGGTACAGACATCTTTATTATCCGTCCATGCATGATCATAGCTATGACCAGATGGCCAATAATCCAATAATTCTTGGCAAAAAAAAAAATTAAACAGTAGTGGGAAAGGAAGAAAAAAGTTGAGGGAAAAGTTTGTAAAACCAAAAAGGCAAAACACCGATGTATATATTACAATTTTGAATTTAAAACAATTTAATAGTTACAAAACTAAAATGAAGTAACAAATTATTTCTTTGATAACGGAATATTTGAACCTGTTGGTTTACAATAAACTGATGCCCTGTTTCTCTAGGCTTTATTGGTGGTAATGGTCAGGCATGTTGGACCATTATTGCCTTTTTAGCATTTAAGTAGAGGGCACAAACTAAACAGACAGTAATGTGTGAATTGTGGAGTGGGCTAAAGTTAAAAAACATCAGTATTTTTAGTCAGAGTATTTTTTTTTTGCTTTTATTCTTTTTACAATAAAAAGTGGATATGTTTGTAGATTAACCCATGTTCTGCTGTCATTTATATTTTAATAAACTTTAATAGTTAAAACTATTAAACTAGTTAAACCAAGTGGTGCATCAAAGTTAGATTTTTTTATTGAATGGGTATAAAAATCTTTATAATCATTAAAATTATTTATAAAAATTATTAGTTTAAAAAATCTTGAACGATATTAATGATATTACGTATTTCCAAAACTTGCTTCTTCTAAGTTTCTGTCCAATTTTATAGTCACTTTTTTTTTACCGCCCCCTGGCGTTTTAAAGAATATCTCAACGGCAAAAGGTGTCATGTATAAAAGCCTTGTCCATTTCGTATCGTCCGCGATGTAAAATAGAAATCAGCCTTAAATGTACCGAACTCTGACATCAAATAAACTCAGTTATGGATCAGAAGTGCTACTGTGAAAGCACACTAATTGATGACAGAATTTAAATTTTTTATGTAAACTAATCATAAGAATGTTAAGAAGACAGAATGTAAGAATACAGGAATTTCTTTACCAATCAGTACTGCAAGTTAAAAACAAATTAATTTCCCGTTAACATTCAAGTGCTGTTAAGCATGTTCCTAAACACCGATGATTGGCCACTGTGTTCATGTGCTCAACAGAAATGACCGTGACTGGCCATAAAGTCATCTGTTCATCGCTGTTGTGCAACAAAGCCAAGAAGATCAGCAGGTCTGTCTGTAAGCTGAAAGACGAGAAATCCGCTGACGGATCCAATGATCGTTGTGGCTTTGAAACGCTCCAGTGTCTCTGATCTGGTATGTTTGTTTTTGGTATTGGAACATTTTAAGTATAGGTACATAAGCACAGTTTTGGCACAATACTGATACCATAAGTACAACCATAGGCCATAATCATAGCTAAAACATTATAAAAGCAGTGACAAAGATTACTAACCTGAGAGTGAACAGTGCTGTGATCAGCATGCGATTCTCCACAGCCAACATATGAACAGCCATTCTGCATGAAATAAATGCATAATAAAATTATTTTCCATAGACTTCATTAGAAAATTACTGTTAAAAGAAGATTTTATCCAGAAAGACAGGAAGTCATTTTTTATTTGCTTACAAACACGCATTTTCATCGGTTATCAGATATAAAAGTAATTTCCTCCAAATCACTATCATTGGAGTATTTTAATAATGTTGGCAGAATTTATTGAGAAACATCCCTTTATATGAAGGAAGCATTTCTTTCGACACATGTCAACATAAAACACAAGTGATGGAGATGCATCACTCTTATAAAGATACTTATAAAGCGTATAATATACTTTTATAAAGCTTACCTCTAGACATGCCCAAAGATTTGGTCCCCCAACTTTGCAGTCCTGACACTGACCCTAAAAACAAACACATTTATACATGAGTGCCTTTCCAAGTCTATATGCCATGTGCAGTAGGTATTGGGGAAAAAAATCAGATGTTGCGGTATTTTGTTTTACTCTGATATACAGTTGAAGTCAGAATTATTAGCCCCCCTGTTTATTTTTCCCCAATCTCTGTTCAATTTTTTCAACACATTTCTAAACATAACAGTTTTAATAACTCATCTCTAATAACTGATTTATTTTATCTTTGCCATGATGACAGTAAATTATATTTGACTAGATATTTTTCAAGACACTTCTATACAGTTTAACATTGAAAGGCTTAACTAGGCTAATTAAGTCAACTAGGCAGGATAGGGTAATTAGTTAAGTTATTGTATAACGATGGTTTGTTCTGTAGACTACAGAAGAAAAAATATAGGTTAAAACTGTTAATTATTTTGACCTTAAACTATTAAAATTGCTTTTATTCAAGATTAAACAAAACAAATAAGACAAAAATATTATCAGATATAATGTAAAAATGTCCTTGCTTTGTTAAACATCTTTTGGGAGATATTAAAAAACTAAAATAAAAATAAAAGTGGCAAAAATTTCTGACTTCAACTGTATATAGATCAGCGACAAAACCAGTTAACAAAACTACAAGTAGGAAGTGATCATTTCGGGTTCTTTCACACCTAGGGCTGTGACGGTCACCGTGACAACCGCGTCACCACGGTGGTCAGTTGCCACCGCGGTTGTCCATTGCCTCCGGCGGTAGTCTGTGACGTCACGCACTTCAAAACACAAATTACCTTTATGTTGCCAAGTATTACATTTCTGTTAGAATATAACATTAGGCGCGGTTCAGCAAGTTTAAGTTCAACCATGAGTCTTGTTAGACAACGAAATCTTACATCTAGGAACATTTTGGATTCGTGCCGACCGAGAAAAGTGAACCAATTAATTTGGACTAAGCTTTTTGTAGGTCTTTTTTTTAAGTGTTAAAGTTTGTTTTAATATTCACTGCTGAGAGTCCAAACACTGTAGAGAAAATCCATCGATACACAGCTCCACAGGTCCCGAACCATGAAAGTCAGTGGCGATTGACGGCGAGGGAAAAAAAGCCACGTAGGCTAGCTAGTCAGCCAGGTATGGAAGAGGTATTTCCACAAATGGCCAGATACAAAAGAGAAAGTGATAAATGGAAGACATTGACAAGAAATGGAGCAACATATTTGGTAACTAGTTAAGAACGCGCCACTCCGCAGTGTCACATACTTTTGTCACGTATTATTTAGACTTACCACCGCAGTAGTAAAAAATTGCCACCGTCTCAGCCCTATTCACACCTAGACTTTCGTTTCAGAACCTGCATCGTTTGCGCAGTTACCGCGGTTTGCTTGACATATGTGAAACTACCAATTGCGCTCTGATACCGCCAAAACAATCGCTCCGAGATCTTTTGAATGAGGTGGTCTCGGCTTGATTAAAACTAACTCTGGAACAGATTGATTGTAGTGAGAAAGCGATACGAAACCGAGCCCGGTTATATCAGTGTATTATGGATATGTAATAGGCATACGACTTTATGAAGAGAGAATTATGAGTAGGGTGGGAGGTCATTCCAGACATTCCAAGTCTCCCGGAAGTTTCATTAGTCTCCCGCAAATGCACAGAGACTCCCGGGTGCCCGCAAACAAATGATAATCTCCCGGTAATCTCGCGTCTCCCTCCCAGTCCTCAAATACATTGCGTACCTTTCTCACGCCACCCCACCGCATCCGTCCTCGCTCTTCAGACACGTCGCGCGCACCCTGTCAAACACCACCAAACCACTACCACCCACCTGACAGCTGAGCGGGACTCTGCAAAATAAACCGTGAAACTGACCAATGAGAGGAGAGTTTACTCGCATGTGACTTGTTTTAGCTCTTTTGGTCAGTTTAGAAACTTTGCCGTGTGAAAGCGAACCGCACCAAGAACAAAAAGCAACATTGTAACAATTTTAATCCCCGTTTCGGAACAACTGAATCGATTCACAGGTGTGAAAGCACCCTTAGATTTCAAACCAACAAAAAGATCCAGGTCTATGGTAGGGCCGGAATAATATATAATTTGACCGTCGATATCGTAATGCGAGTATCTGCAATAGTCACATCGCAGGATTAGATTATTTACAATGGAAAATTTTGCATACAATGTAGAGCTGCACAATTAATCTTTAAAAGATTGCGATCTCGATTCGACCCCCTAGACAATCTTAATCCAGTATTTCTACGATTCTGCCAATCATATTTTTAAGTTCAGGAGAGAAGAAAAGGCGGCTGCACGAGTCTTTTCATTGTTTCACATACGTTTCTCAGTGACACTGAAACCTCCAAATGATGTTGAATGAGTCACATAATGTATTTATTAGGTATAATTCACCTAAAAATGTCATTTTTGTCATCATATAATGATATGACGTGAGCTGTTGACCGTAAACTGTTATCACAGAGAGGGCGCATGCGCTCTACTTAATGATAAACGCGCGCGCGTCTGCTTTAGTGAACAGAACCTGCATACGTTGCCAGTAACAGGTAATACAGTTGTAAATAATATTCAGTTTGTGGCACAGAGTGATCGTTTGGGAGCCACGCGCGAAGTATGAACAAGCACTTAGCAGTCAAAACGAAACCCAAAGTGTGCACTTCATTTAAATGATCGTATCGCACTTTAAAGTTATGATTACAGCAAGCATTTGAAATGTTTTTTCTTTTATAGGGAACCCACAGTTGTGCACGAAAATAAACGTTTACAATGTCAATAAAACTACTTTAGCCTATATATTGTTGAATATAATCTGATAATGGCAAATGTCTGATTTTACCAGTGAATAAATTTGTCTAATATGACAGATTGCAAGCATATATCTCAAACATAATAATTCAACATCATAATTATTATAAGTAGAATAGAATTATTTACAAAAACCAGTAGACCTACACAATATTATTATCGATGTTGTGCCATGTTTGTTTTTACCATACCTTTATTTTACATATACAGAAATAGTGAAAAAATTGTGATCTTTATTTTAAGCAAAAAAAAAAAAAAATTGCGATTCTCATTTTAGCCAGAATCTTGCAGTTCTAATACAATGTTGATGTTTGATTGTTCAATTTTAATATTAGAATACTGTTAGGCCAGATAACCATAACGCACTGTTTATTTAACCTTTATTTGTCCTCTGTTGCATTCATATATGCTTAATTTATTAGATTTTATGCCGATGTAAGGCATAGAAAAGACTTGATCACCCTAGTCGATCTAAAAGAATAAAAAAAATTCCAAATAGAGCTATTCAAATCATAAAGTGATATAATATTCATGTTGGAATACATATCGCAGCCGCACGATATTACAAAGATATTACGAACTTCAAAAACTTTGAAATGTGGTATACATCATGCATAGCTTTTGAACTGAGGGAAATGAACAAAAGTATTGAAGCTCACAATACTGTGAGCAAGTCTTTGTAGGAACTCACTCACATGAGACTTCTGGATGAGTTCTTCTTTGGTGATCTCCCCCACACACTCCAAGTGTGGACAGTCATTGCTGGACACTCCAGACATCGCTCTTCTGGAAAGAGATAGTAAGATGAACACGTTAGTAAACTACTATAACAGTAACACAGGGTTTCTGCAGTTTTCATCAAGTCAAATTTAAAGAGCCAGTATTGTGGGTTTTTGAAAATGAGCTTCCATGTAGTGTGTAACACAGATCTAAGTGAAGTGAAATATCCAGCTAAGGCTTAAATCTGAAATCTGAAAGTGGACAGTTTTTAAAACTATTGATTCATATTTAAAAAAAAAAAAAAAAAAAAAAAAAAGAGTTGAGACTCATAGTGGTTAGAATGAATCGTCTTCATAACGAGTCTTTAGCCGTATCGGCGTGACGAGACAACGAAACATAGTTGTTATAGGCGCAAACCCGGGAAAATTTAAACCTGCACCCCGCCCACTAACACAGCAGCGAAGACAAACAGATCCTGAAGTCATGAGTCAAGAAGACTTAACTGGATATTATTAGAAGTGTGAGGGGAAATAATTCATTCAGCAGTCTACACACTTACAGAGGGCGATTCATTTGTTTGTTAAAATAAGGATCAGAAAAGACTGGTGTATGAGACTTATGAAAATGGGCAGACAACACACCAGGGGTGCGTGCAAAAGAAGGCCAGTTTATTAGGCACAAAGGCAGTCTGCTACATGCTGGTGAGCACTACAACCCCCTGGCTGGGGATGGGATCTTTGGGTAAAGCAGAGTACAGGTAAGCCCTGAGAACATATAACACTTCACGCAAGAGGTGCCACAGCTATGATTGCAAATAGAAATGATCTAAGTTACAGCTGAGAAGGGAGAAAAGTTGGTCATGGAAATCACGCTCAGTAAATGATGTGCATAGGTTTCATTTTCACTGCTAAGTGCTGTTCATACTTCCTGTGCGGGGGTTATGATGGCCCCGTGCGCCGGGGGCTTGACAAACTGCACTGGGCATTTGTCTTGCGCTGGGCGTTTATCTAGCACTGAACGCTGTTGACCAATCGCAACAGCCTGTCATCGGTCCAATCAGCGCAGATTAGCTTTGCGCTAAGGAAGGGGTTTGGGAACAAATGAATCGCTTTTTGCTATTTCTGTGAAGAATTTTGGTAAATGTCTGCGGATTTCTGCGAAATTATTTTGGGAGTATTATAACTAAAACCTTAATATATGAAATAAAAAATAATATATTTTTTGTATTTAATCACTGAATAAATATAGATTTACACACATTTACTCAAGTAAATAAACAGAATTAATGATGGGCTAAAAATCTGCAGAAAATCTGCGAGCGCAGATTCCCGGTGGGATTACCAATGACTATCAAAGCACAACATTGTACACATTCAACTAAATAGCGCTAATGTTGTTTTGATGTCATACTTGCATTGGATTTCGGACCGAATATTCAAACTACAAAATACACTACCAAACAAAAGTCTTGTCATCTGTGCAAGTTTTAGGAACCAATAATAACTTTACTTGTAGTTGATCATTTGGTATCAGAAGTGGCTTCAAAGTCAAAGCCCTCTAGTTTACGCTTATTTTACCAAATTAAAATATGATCGTGCCTGGATTTATAATGATTTAATTAGGACAGTAAGATCTGACTTTGCTTCGACAAAAGTCTTGTCACTTAACAGAAATAATGTACAGTATAGAATATAAAGTCATGGTGCAGTGGGAAAAGAATGAATATTGTGCATGTTCCCCATGAGCATGGACGACTGCATCCATACATTTCTGCAAGAACTCAAATAACGCATTATTAAAGTCATCTGGAATGGCAAAAAAAAGATTGGGGGGTTGCATTTCTGTTAGAAACTTGGGTCCATGTTGGTTCCGATAGGTCTTCTGCTGTATTTGTGATGATCGGGATGCAGTTCAACAGATGATTCATCAGAAAAATCAACCAAAGTAAAGTTATCATTTGTTGCTCATACAACTGGTATCAACGACAAGACTTTTGTCAGCAGGGTTTCTGCAGATAACATGACCTAAATGACTTTTAAACACATTTTTAAGACCATTAAGTTTTAAGACCTATATCGCAATATCAAAAACACACAAGAGAAAATGCAAAATCACAAAATTAGGGGTAAAATAAATGTATTTCAATTGAACAGTACTAAAGACAGGTTAGATGCACCATTGAACTACAGAAAAAAACAAACATCTTCATGCTGATTAATACTTTCGCCTGGCGCCGCATCGCACACCTCACGGAACGGATGGGGCTTTTATACTCGACGCATTCACTATTGAGATATTCTTTTAAATGACAGGGGCGGTCAAAAGAAACTGACAGTAAAGTCAGACGAATAAAAAGATAATTTCACACTGAATTTAATAACAGAAAGCTGATTGGCTATTGCAAGTTGACCTTTTTGTAGTTGTAAAGCTGCGGTCACACCAGAGTTTGAGTTTGCGAAATTCTGTCGTACGGCTCTGCGAAATAGGGCGGGATTAAACAAGATGATTAGACATTTAAAAAAGTCAAGTGATGCGATTTCGCCGGTCAGTTCACCAAGCTTAAACTTTGCACCACAGCAACCTGCGAAACTTGACGCAAGACCCTGCGTTCCTGCAAACGCAGGCGTATGAATGGAAGTCTATGGGAGGAAAAGCCCAGTGTGACCGCAGCTTCATACCGCATATTACAATTAGACAAAAAAAAATGTATTACAAAAAAATTATTTAAATGAGAATTAGATGTAGCGCTACATGGACATCGCAAAAATAAGACCTGTGCAAAAAATATTTAAGACCTAGAACAGCAAATTTAAGACTTTAAATTAAATTTAGATGTTTAAATTTTAGACTTTTTAAGGGTGCTTTCACACCTACACTTTTGTTTCGGAACGTGTCTCGATTGCCCAGTTAGCGCGGTTCGTTTGGCATATGTGAACAGGGCAATCGCGGTCTGTTCCGCGTCAAAGTAATCGCTCCGAGATCGCTTGAATGAGGTGGTCTTGGCTCGATTGAAACGAACCCTGGAGCGGTTCGATTACAGTGAGAAAGCGATCCGATCCGAGCGCGGTTATATCACAGTGTTTTATGGATATTTAATAGGCATACGGCTATATGAAAAGAAAATTATGAGTATGGCGGGAAGTTTCGCGAGTCTCCGGATGCCCGCAAACGAGTGATGATCTCCCGGTAATCTCCCGTCTCCCTCCCGGTCCTCAAATAGGCATCATCGCGCACCCTTCTCAACCTTCCCCACTGCATCTCTCCTCAGACACATCGCGCGCACCCTGTCAATCACAATCAAACCACCACCTCTCCTGACAGCTTAGCGGGACTGTGACTCTGACCAATGTGAGGAGAGTTTACTCGCACGTGACTTGTTTTAGCTCTTTTGGTCCGATTAGAAACTTTGCAATGTGAAAGCAAACCGCTCCAAGAGCAAAGAGCAACAATGTAACCATTGTAATCTCTGTTTCGGAACAACTGAATCGATTCACAGGTGTGAAAGCACCCTTAGATCCCGCGGGAACCCTTGTCAGGTAATGTATAGACCAGGGGTGGGCAAACTTTTTAATGGAGGGCCGGTCTCTTGCATAGCTTAGCTGCAACACTAATCAAACACACCTGAACATGCAAATGAGTGTCTTCAAGATGACTAGAAATCTATAAACAGGTGTGTGTGATTAGAGTTGGAGCTAAACTTGTGCAGGACACCGGCCCTCCAGAACTGAGTTTGGATATAGACTGTATATAGTTTGGTATAGAATGTGTCACAAGATGTCACTGTTCAAACTAATATGTGCGAATATATAACCAACTTTACCTCAATTTGAATTTGTCTTTTGGAACTGATAAATTAATAAACAAAAAATCCCAAATGCATATGCATAATAGAAATGTTAAATGGTGTGCACATACTGTGCAATCTCATAGCACTTTTACATTACATAATCCAATTTCAACAATGCCATCAAAATGTTATCTTTAAAAACACAACAACTGACTATGCAGTTCAGCAGAGATGTTTTGTACACAAAACAATCAAATGAAACGCTGCAGATAAGTTCCAATAAACCAAGATAACTCAACTATTACATGACACTTTCTAGAAAAAGCAAAGGTCCAAGAACGCGGTAACACAAAGTACAAGAACATTTCAGTGAGTAATTGTTAGCAGTAAAATGAATGCTTCAAAGTAATTATTATTCAGCTGACAATGATTAATATGCTCGTTATTATTGTAAACATGCTGTACAGTACACTCGCATAGCATGGTGCTGTAATGTACAGTCAAGGCCTCTACAGCTGTGCGTGACGTCAGTCCAGTAACGCGTCAGCATAAGCCAGAATCTTCGCTAGGCTAGTTAGCAACTAGCTTCAGGCTGTCACGCACATACATCCCCATACATTTTTCCTTGGATTATAAATCTTTCTACCGTCACAAGCACAAGAGCGGCTGAAATCCCAGTAGACTGTCACTAAATAGCGTGTTTAGTGCGAAGATATTGCAGAAAGGAGGCGTGTGTGTATGTGCGGCGGGCTAAAGCTAAAGTCAGTGCGCTGCACATCATCTGACAGCTCTGTCTGCATCAGCTCATTTCACAACACCACAGTTACAAGATAGCTCAATCAAGGCACCGCTTCATATAAACTAAACACCAAGTTGGAAGGAAAGCTTCAATTACGACACATTAAAATAAGCAAACAGCCGATGATATAATATTAGCTTACCTCTAGGGAAATGCACGATGTTTAAAAATTAACCGATTATCGCTTCAAATCTGCTGATGAGGATAGCGGAGGTTTAAAGACGTCCCTCGGTCATTCAGCTACATTTCTGTAATGTTCCTCGGTTTGCAGACAGTGGTTTTTCCAACGCTTGGTACCAGACACTTCAACTTCAAACTGGAGCTACATGGTATGACACATTCAAACTGCTTCTTCCGGTTGTGAATGAAAGTGAATGGGGGAATCGGTAGCGGCGACGCCTCCTAGTGTGGACGCGCGGAACCACTCGTAGATGCGCATTGATCCCCATGGATCAACCCCTACCCAACCGCCACCCTTTGGCCAAACACTGAATTACACTATTGTCAGGCGTTCTCAGTTTAGAAATGATAGATGGTGTTTTCAGGTTTTGTTATGATGTTTGGAAGTCTCTTCACATCCTCTTCACAGTCTTATTTTTTTATTTCAACTACAATAAAAGCAGTTTTAATAAAAAAAATATATATATATATTTAAGGTCAATATTATTACCCCCCTTAAAGGGGCGCAACTACACATTTACTAAGGTGTATGCGGGTTCAAGTTTTGCATGCCCCCTCAACACATCCAACACTGATCAGGCAAGTGACAGTGCTAAAAGTTTCCATCAATATTAAAGAGGCAAAGCAGTGGTGCAGTAGGTAGTGCAGTCGCCTCACAGTAAGAAGGACGCTGGGTCGCAAGTTTGAGCCTCGGCTCAGTTGGCGTATCTGTGTGGAGTTTGCATGTTCTCCCTGCGTTTGTGTGAGTTTCCTCCAGGTGAATTGGATAAGCTAAATTGTGTGTGTGTGTGTGTGTGTGTTTCCCAGAAATGGTTTGTGGCTGGAAGGGCATCTGCTGTGTAAAAACTTGCTGGATAAGTTGGCGGTTCTGCTGTGGCGACCCCGGATTAGTAAAGGGACTAAGCCGACAAGAAAATGAATGAACATAATAAAGATATTTTTTCCTCATCAACATGTTGAAGTTCTGAACACAACTAAAATAGTGAACTAGTAAAAGTCTGTTAATGTAACCCCGCTGTTCCTACGCCACCCAACCTGCTCCGAGGTGACATCGAACCGGCGATCTTCCGCATGGGAGTCGCGTGCTCTACCAAGGAGGCTAAAGACCATAGCCTCTAACGATTGTTGCTAGAGCACCTTTAGAGGTTAGAGGAGTGAGGTTTACCTGCACAGCACACACTACCTGGCCTCCATTACACTCACCCCCCTAAGCCTCACTCCCATCCGGGTCACGGCACCAATGTAACCCCGCCGGTCCTACGCCACCCAACCCGCTCCGAGCTGGTATTGACCCGGCGACCTTCCGCATGAGAGTCAGTTGCTCTACCAAGGAGGCTAAAGACCATGGCCTCTAGCATCTGTTGCTAGAGCACCTTTAGAGGTCAGAGGAGTGAGGTTTACCTGCACAGCACTCACTAGCTGGCCCTAGAAATTTCTTCTCAATTTCATTTCCCCTCACTAAATGATTATAGCACCTAGACATGCCTGGCTTCTGTACTTGTACATTTGTCAAAACAAAATGATATGGGAGTCCTAAAGGGCAAAAGAACATAAAATTGCAACGACTTCTCATATGCGAGGTGCACTCTCAGAAATAAAGGTACGTGAGCTGTCACTGGGGTGGTGGTACCTTTTCCAAAGATACACATTTGTACTTAAAGGGACCATATTGATAACTCAGTGGTATATAATAGTACTTAAACATTTTAAGAAGAACACTTTTGTACCATTTAGGTACTAATATGTACCCTTAAGATATTAATATGGACCTTTTAGGTACAAATTTGTACCTTTTGAAAAGATACAACCCCAGTGCAGCTCATGTACCTTTATTTCTGAGAGTGTGCAGGTGTGTCTTTGCATTAACAATGAGAGGGTGCTCGCTGCAGAGCCATTTGAGCAGAGCTGAGCTCCAGCGAGGGGGAGCATGAGCTCTTGCTCTGCCTCCTGTAAGCTGTTTTAATGCGTACACCAAACCCACCCCTAACCCTACCCCCAGTGACATCACTCGTAGAAGAAGTGCAAAAAAGGTGGAGCTCAAGCTCAAGCTCCCCCTCGCTGGAGCTCAGCTCGCCCGAATGGCTCTGCAGCGAGCACCACTTGTTAACAATTGACTGAAATTGCACTTACACCTCTCACAAAGTGAAATAAAAAACACTGTAAAATGTTGAGTATAAAAATAAACAGAGACAAACTGCCTGAAATGTTCTATTTTATCAAAATGTTATGGGCAAACTTTTTTTTGTAACTAAATAAAAATAGTTTTGAGCAAAAAAAAAAAAAAAAAAGCTACCAAAAGGCCGGATGTGTCAATATGATACATACATTTATAAAAACATGTATATGGTATGAAAATGAATTTTGAAAGAAGAATTAATAAACATCTCAGTTTCAAATAAATGTGAATATTCTGACTGTTTATGTTTTAACAGGGTTAAGAATCATTATAATCAAGTATATGAAATTCATAGAGGGAAATTTTTAATCCAAATATTATTTTCTATTTTATCTGAAATATACTGAAGTCTGTACTTACATAAACTTTGTTTATGAGAACTTTATGTAAAACATTTAGTGTGATCCCTCTTATTTTGGCAAAATAATTAATTAATAAATAATATATTTTTTTTCTTTCAGATTAATCATAACTTTTGACTTCACCTGTACTGTATAAATGATTTGACAGTTTATTTTGATAAAAAAAAAAAAATCTAAAGTTACATCTACATGAAAACTTTACACTTGGCTGTGTGACTGCATGTTATTGTGTTAAATGATTTTGAATATAACGTGTGTGCCAACGTATGCAACTCGCATAAAATGCAAAATAAACATTTTTAACTAAACATTTAATTATTTGTATTATTTAAAGCTTTTGAATAAGGATAATTTAAAAAATCATTTTGGCACAATTAAGGATACAATTTACATATTAAAATCGTGTTTGAAATGAGAAATGCAAACGATGTAATTTAGTTTAACATATTGCTTTGCCATTTTACATATTACATTTAAATATGAATTATGCTACTCGTATGCTTCTATACTGGCTAAACAAAATAATAAATAAATATACTGAAAAACATACTGCAGAATGGTAAAAGTTAAAGCTGGTTTTATTGAGTCATACAAACTCAAAATAACTATAAAAAGTTACATTATTTATTCTGCTATCATTCTGATATTTGAAATAGCCTCACTTAGTCCTGTTTTACCATAAAACGTCCATAAAAACACTTTAATTCACCTAACTTCACCTCACATCTGGCGACGCAGTGGCGCAGTAGGTAGTGCTGTCGCCTCACAGCAAGAAAGTCACTGGTTTGAGCCTCGGCTGGTTCAGTTGGCGATTCGGTGTGGAGTTTGCATGTTCTCCCTGTATTCACGTGAGTTTCCTCCAGGTGCTCTGGTTTCCCACACAGTCCAAAAGACATGTGGTACAGGTGAATTGGGTAGGCTAAATTGTCTGTAGTGAGTGTGAATGAATGTGTATGGATGTTTCCCAGAGATGGGTTCCAGCTTGAAGGGCATCCGCAGCGTAAAACATGTGCTGGATAAGTTGGCGGTTCATTCCGCTGTGTTGACCCCAGATTAATAAAGAGACTAAGCCGAAAAGAAAATTAATGAATGAATCACCTCACTTCTCAAAGAGTCTCAGAGTAATCATTTGAAGGTTAAATCTTTCTAAACACCTTTCCAATATCCTGCTCTGCTCTGATTGGTCAGATGGCCCACTCTTTTGTGACTGATTGATGAATTCATGTCTGCAACTAAATCCTATTACCTTCAAATCTGCTCAGAAGACTTCCTTCTCTCAGTGAATGACAACACTAGTTTAATTATATCAGTCCTGATTTTCATCTAATGATGAAACAGCCCTAAAATGCACCTCATAGAATAATTTAGAATCAGCACTAAAGCACTTTTCTGTTTAACGTTGAACAAGTTAAATGTGCTTCCACGGGCCTGTTTGAGCTTCTGTTCACATGTGCTCTATTTATTCTTTACTGCAACTGCATCAAATAAATATTACAAAAATGTAATCACTAGATTTTTTAAAGACTGCTATCAGACTCAGAATTAATATGTTTAAATAATGACACAGGACAACAAAATGAGTTTTTATTTGTTTATTTCACATCATATATTTGAAGGCATTTTACAAGCTTGACTGAAAATATTATTACATGTAAAATAAACTATGTGGTATTAAAAATACAATAAAAGATAATGCGAACATAAGGAACTGATGACTCAGGCATCAGAGTGGGAACAATGCTCTCTCATGTCTCACAAACATAAGCACAAGAAGCTGAAAAAAAAGAAAGAGATGAAGAGAACAAGCAAGTATAATGCATGATCTGACTCCCATATACACACAATATATATAAAAACATAACTATAACATATACGAGACACTGAAAAACATGAAAAGACAATGCAAATACACCTTTTTTTTTTAAATAAACCCACCACCACCCCCCCTCTCTGGGGGACAACTTTATTTATTTTTTTTTCATTTTTTAATCACAGCTTGTTCATTTAATTTTTACATTTGCATATCCATTTTATCTTATTATTAACATAAAACTAAATGAATAAACGACTTTACAATGTATTCTCTGTGTGAGCGGGAATTACACTTCACCTCTGCGCTGATTGGTTATCATGTAAAAGGATGCTAACAAAGGAGTGCGGATATAAAAGCAGGTTTATTAACAAGAATGGTCAGACAGGCAACGGTCAACACAGAGGCAAACGCTTAAGAGCTATATATATATATATATATATATATATATATATATATATATATATATAAACATAACAGTAACATGAATGAGACACTGAAATACATGAAAAGAGAGTGCAAATACACCTCTTTTTTTAAATAAACCCACCACCACCCCCCCTCTCTGGGGGACAACTTTATTTTTAATCACAGCTTGTTAATTAAATTTTTACATTTGTATATCCATTTTATGTTATTGTTACACAAACACAGAGTAAACAATAAAACAGTGATAGATGCAAGACAAGACTGCGAGACTGGATGGACAATCTGGTCAAATACACAGATATAAGGCATGTTGAGTCATGTGTGGGAGAACAATCTGGCATCCATATTAGTCAAATATACATGCAAAATA